AAAAAAAAAAAAAAAAAAAAAAAAAAAAAAAAAAAAAAAAAAAAAAAAAAAAAAAAAAAAAAAAAAAAAAAAAAAAAAAAAAAAAAAAGAAAGAGAAAGAGACAGAGAAATGAGAAGAGAAATGAAGAGAAAAATGAAAAGAAAAATAAACACAAACTAAAAGATCAAAACAAATAGCCTTCAGGCGTCATACTACAAGATCCCGTAGGTAAGTAGGCCTGCCTCCGGTAGCTGGGGCTGTTGACACCGTAGTTTCTCGCAGATGGTCAATTAGCCTCACGTAGTCGGAAGCCGCCATCGGTTCAGGTCCTTGACAGGTCCTTGACAGGTCCTTGACAGCGTATCCCGTGTCTCGGGTGATGGCAGAGAGGCATTTATTTCTCTCCTTTAGATCAATGAAACCAGTCAAACTGTAAAAGACCTACTTCCAGTTTCATATTTGTTATTTGTAAATAATACGGAGTAGTGATCATCAGAAACACGTCTGGTCAGACAACTGTTGGAGGGTTGTGCTTACTGAAGAGGTGCTGTATACAGTACAGTACCGTGCATCAACCTATGAAAGATCTTTCTTTGTCACCGCCACCAACAAAGACAGCAGCTTGATCTATTTCGGCTCACCACCTTGGACTGCAAGCCTCAGGGAATCTAGTAATGTCGATACAATTATGCCAGACTAGTATCTTAACTCGGTCACTAATACTAACTATTGAGTTCTAGTCAACAAACTGTGCAAAACTATCCTATGCGGTGAACTGCACCTTCCCAGCTCAGTGTATACGAGATTTACCCTCAAGCAAGCCATCTCGCGAAGCCGCGTCCTTGTCCTAACCTTTCTTTTCTAGTGCCTTTGCCAAATTTTCATTGATGTAGTGGCACAATGGCTGACGGACTGACCCTTGTTTCTATGTCTTTTTAAATTGCTGCTGCTCCTCTGCATTCTCTTGCCCCGTTGCAGTGTGTTTTCTTCCAACAATATTTCACCAAACAACTCTGATCTCTTTCCACCTCAACATTTTTCACGACATACTACGTACCCTATCTTCAGGTCAAACACGATGGCAACCGAATCGCCCGAAGACAACATTGGCCTCGATCGTCGGTTTTGGGATAACTTGAAATACAATGGCTGCGGGTTTGATAATCAGGCGGACTGGGGTAGGTTTGTTCACTGCAGTGCTGAACGGACCTGTGGCTAATTCACCCTTCTCTAGAGGACTTTCAGATGCGCTTCTCTGCCTCTACCTCCGGCCCTGGCACACCGCTACGTCCAGGCCTCAGGATCAGCCAAATTGGTCATCTCGGAAGCCCGGGCCCTCTCGCGGTGGCTGCCGTAGGTTTCGCAGTTCAGGACGAGGCCACCCTTCGCGAGACGGAGTTCTGCATTCTGATCATCGTTCCTCCTCCGTCTCCGGACGACCCGCAGGAGAGTTCCGAGGAAACAATTGTCCATCGCTACCTCGATCTCTACAAGAAGCAGGCCTGGGGGGAACTCATCGGACGGTTGGAAGCAGCCTGTAGACCGCTCTTCACGGCGACCAAGATGGATGAGCCTAGAGATACTTTTGAGTCTGCACTAACACACGGCTCCCGGCTTTTCCAGCTGGTTCCGGGGGAGGACGCAGACACGCCCGGATTCGAACCGTTTCAGCCGGAGCCCCTGAGAGTCGACTGGGGCCTGGTCAAGGAGGATGTCAAAGACGTTCCGGCTTTTGCCTTGTCGGACGTCGAGCGGTTTCGCTCGTTGACGAACCAGGTCCACGAAGTCACTATCAACGGGCGGGCCTACGTCTACAAGCTTGCCAGAGATCCGGAGTTTGTCCGGGAGATCTCGATGTTGCGGAAGTTGGAAGCGTTGAGCAGCAAAGGACACACCACTCTCCGGGCCCCGAAGCTGGAAGGGCTCATCGGCCTGGATACGATATTCGAAGGGATTCTCATGACGTGCATCCCGTCCGCCCGCAGTCTGGAACGTCTGATTCTCGATGATTGCGAGATGAGCCTCGCTGACCGTCAGAAGTGGTATGACCAGGTCTCCGAGGCCGTGCAAACTTTGCATCAGGAGGGTCTCTGCTGGGGAGATGTCAAGGCGGCAAATGTGGTGATTGATGGCGAAGGCGACGCCTGGCTGATCGATTTCGAAGGCGGCGCCAGCTGGGGCTGGATCGACAAGAAGCTGAAAAATACCATGGCTGGAGACTTGCAAGGTTTGAGCAGGCTTCACAAGGCATTGGACCTGGGAGCCTCCTGACTCAGTGCTGTGCTGTTGTAGGTGGCGCATTTGAGAAGGACTTCTCTTGTCTCCTGTCCGTTGTTTCGGCTTTTCTTCTCTTTTCGCTGTTCCAGTTCGTAGATCTGTACCAAATATCCTGCTATTTGTTTTCTCTTCTCTCTCTCTTTCTCTCTCTCTCCTTCTTTTGTATTTCCCTTCTTGTGGTTGCTACCGAGCCTTCGCCATTGCGCCGGCCTGTTTAATCCCATCATCGTAGATTTTGGCTCTCCGCGGTCTCTGCTATTATCCCCGTCTATTCACTTACTTGCTCTCGGCTTCTTTCAAAGCTCTTTCACCCCATCTCTCGGGAACTGTTACCGTATCCATATCTCAATCAAAGATGTAATTGAATTCAGGCGCTACCAACAGACCTCCCTTGTACGAAAGCCTCCATCGTAGCATGTTCTATACGAAAGTGACATTTCTGCTGTCGAGCTAAGCAAGCCCCAAATACAGCGTGTTCAATATAATGGTTTTGACTGCCCTTACCCCGTAATTCGCGATGTGTCCGCGCTTGTCTAAGACTCTGATGTCGCTACCTGGCTACCCAGCGTGAAAGGGCTATCCAGGCGAACTCGTGTCGATCCTGAGAATGTTTCAAGAGCACTACGCCTACATGTAGAACATTGAACCACCAGTACTGGTAGCTGTGGTGGCTGTGTAAAAGTTTATATCGAGATTCGATCCCTCGAGAAACATTTCAGGATCCACTGGGGAATTGCATTGCAGGCTTAGATGTGACAGCCAAGTGTGGCTCTAGCAAGAATCGTGAATCATCTGGCCGCGTTCGAGACCCTTCCAAATCCCGAAGAGACAAAATAAGGAGCGAGCCTAGCCCAGCCCAGCGGACTGGTAAGCAGAACTGAGACATGCGCCTCAAAATAGTATAGGTAGATAGAGCCGGCACGAACGCCCGCGGTGATAGGATCCAAGTTGGCTGAACAACTTACGGACTGCTCATGTTACACAAGCAGAGCTACCTGATGTCATTCTTCGGACTCTGTTTGTTTTTTTCTTTTTTCTTTTTTTTTTTTGTTGAACATCTCTTGACAGGTATGAGATCTTCGTCGGTGTGAAATGACTTGGCCAACCGCCACTTGTCAAGCTATCAGTTGGATGTATATAGACACATAGAAACATAAAAACATAAAAACAGTCGTCGGCTGTCCCTTTCCGTGCCGAGGTAGCAGCAACCTGGTAGGGATATTCCCTTGCCTATCTTGCCACAAACAACATGAGTAGTGCCTAAACTGAACAGAAGCCGCAGTCGAGCTTATGCTGTGCGAGGAAGTCTACATACAGTACACATGTGCATTGCAGATCAGGGACGAGGGGGTCCTGGATCCGTCCCGCCATCGTGACTGCTCGTCCATACTTCATCTAGGTAATATTGATGCAAACGAGCTCCACAGGCTCAATGAAACCGTGCTCCAGGGGCTTAATGATGGCGGCTACTGTCAGATGCCGGCGTGAAACCAATTCCGTATCCGTATAATGTGGCTCACTGGAAAAAGAAGCAGAGAAAGCCACTGCTGCATCGCATCATGGGATGAAATCTTGCACGGGACAACTTGGAACTACTCCTCCGGCTTCCCAACATACGGGTTCGTGGGACCAGCATCGACACCGGATTTGCCGAGGCGAATGCGTTCGGCCGGCTGGAGCGGGTCCATGTGTCCGGCATCACCCAGCCAAGGGACGCTGTCGCTTCTGCAATCGGCTGAGCACAAGCCAATGCTGCAGGCAGTGGGGGTGACGAGCTCGCTGGCTTGCTGTGTTGGATCTCCGCCAGGATTTGCGGCTAGGCCAGGCTATGTTTACACGGCGGCCCATTGGAGCCCCATCACCTACGAGACGGCGGACGGCAACCCTGAGCTCGATCTTGATCTTGCGCAGTTCCCTCAGTGGTATCGCCCCCTTTGTGACCTACGCCGCATCCAAGAAGTGGCCGAACAAGCCGCGTGGCGCTGGTACGAAGAGCATCAGCCCGCCTGGCAGCTCGCGGGGATCAATCCCGGCCACATCCTCCGGGCCGTACGTGCTTCCAGTGTCTCCGTTATCGCGTTCGTAGCGGATCTGGTGCTAGATTCGCGACCGGGCCAGAGCTCCCTGCCTGCCATCGACTTCCCTCACTGGGTCGACATGCACGACGTGGCTCGCGCTCACTTGCTGGCCCTTACGACTCCGCAGGCCCGCGGTCACCGCTTCATTCTTGCTCCCTGGAAGGTGCCCTATTCATCCTTCACAGAAATCGTATTGGAGAGATTGAGCCTGCAGCCTACGGACCAGCCTCAGCTACTGCCTGGGATATCTCAGGGGAGGGTTCCGGTGCAAAATGGGATCATCACAGCCGTGGCAGATCAGGCTGAGATGCAACCGCCCAATGCCTCCACCATAGTCCGTTCTCGCCCTGGGCACACGCTATTGCTTCGTTCCCTAGACGTAGCCCACGTTCATGTGCGGCGACAGACCGCGCCGCTGCAGCAGTTCTGGCCTTTGGAGTGACCACCGTCTGCAATACGCACTTGGAGACGCGATTCGTGCCGGAGCTGCGCCGTGCAGCGGCGGAGGACCCAGACGCTGCCGATTTCCGAACCGCCAGCCAGGCAGCAACCATCGCGGGGGGCGGGGGGTAAGATTCTGGATTTGAAGGCTCTGTCCATGTTTGCTGACTCTTCATCCTGTGCATAAATGCTTTAGCTGGCCGGACAGTCTTGCTGAGTACACGCGACAATAATGAGACGGTGCGTTGTTCCTTTTATCCATCCCCTTCAAGCCAATGTGGCAGCCCTAACCCGAGGCAACGCCGCCCATGCATATAGACACACGCCCATCTGGCTACGTACCCCGATCTCCGCTCCCAATCCGACATCGATGCTTATCTTACGGCCCGTCGTTGCGATGCAGATTACATCAAGTTATCTCATGAAGACGGGGTCAGTCTAGCCGTCGCGAGCCCGCCGCAAAGATCACCGTCGACCCCAGATAGGACCACTTCATGTTGCAACGCGCGTACAGCCCATCGCACGCGCCGATCACTGCGACCGCCGGCAGTACATCTCAACTTAACCCTAACCTCTCTCCCGATATGCTAGGTCTGCTAGTATGATAACTACTATACTCTACTCCTCGTAGCACCGCGCACTCTATATTATATCCTTCCCTTTGTGAATAAGAATCAGAAGCAATTGATCTTCCCTCTCAATCAGAATATGTAGGTCACAAATATAGACGCCATTCGAACAGATAGATTGTGAAATATGTTTTGCCCTCTCCCAAGCCACGGCAATGTGGTGTTCTCTGAAGTAACATAGGCCTCTGCCTTTACTCAGTCAGTCACCCCCCCCCCCCCCCCCCCCCCCCCCCCCCCCCCCTTCCCCCCAAGGTTCCTAACCAACAGATAGACCCAGGCGATGACTGCTCCTATTCTAGGCATCGTCAATCAGAATAACTGACAATAAGCACTGCAGCAACGGAGGTATTTGACTCCGCATGAACCGATTGGCATGTCTCCGGCTCGCTCCGTTTGCCCACAGCATGCCCTTCAATCAGTAGTAGCCTTTGAGTACGCGTCGATCAAGCGCCGCAGAGTCGCACGTCAAGAATCCCCGAGACCTGGTTCGGGCTCCGGAACACATTCTTGATCTCCAGCATCGGGTTTGCAGCCTTCAGCAACGCCTCCCATTCGGACAAGGTCCGCTCTTTGCCGCCATACAAACACATCATGTCGATGTCGTACAGCACGGCGGCGGTGGACGGGTTCGTTTCCTCCATGATTTGATCGCAGATCAGGATCCGGCTCCGATGGGGGGTCAATGCCTCCACGGTGTTCCGCAGGATCGTGATGCAGGCATCGTCCGGCCAATCGTGGAATATATGACGGAAGAGATACGCCGCCGCTCCTGATGTCCAATCAGTTTGGGAGAACCATCATATTCGTGGCGCTTCTCAATCACGATCACGCGCAAAGCACTACCAGGGATTGAGGGTTGCCGTACCTTGAATCGGCTGTGGGCCGAAGAAGTCGTACGTCTGCATCTCCAAGCTGGGATGCGTACTACCTTCCCTTTCAATCGCAAACTTGTCTTGCACGATACACTTCAGCCCGAGTCCGGACCAGTGAGCGAGAATGCTCTGGGCAACCTGCCCCATGCCGCCCCCGACATCAACAATCAATCCACCGTCGTCCACCAGCTGGTCAAACGGGTACAGCTTGGGCAGATCACCCAGCTTGTTCACGGTCACGGCTCGCATGGCCTTGGAGAACCGCTGCCCGCACTCCGGGTCGTCCTGCTCCACATAGTCCCAATAGTTCCGGGGAGTCGAGAAGGCCAGTTGAAAGCCCAGAATGTCCTCTGCGGTGGGGTCCCGATAGTGCAACCTCGCCAGCGCCTCCGCGTGCCGGCTTGCCGCGCGGAACCCATCCTCTAACCTGCGCAGCGCGCATGGAGCGTTAGCGTTTCGAGCCAACAAAAAGAAAGAGGGCGTAGGTGCAGTGCAGTCACCGACCTATGACTGAGAAGATCCGTCATGTTGGGCGCACCAATGACCCGGGACACCGGGGTGTGGGCGTAGAAGCCGGGTTCCGGCTCGGCAAAGATGCTCTTGTTCACCAGCATTCTCATGACTCGCCCTGGGTCATTTGCATACGGGGGATCGATTAGCGATTCTGTTCTGAATCCTCGGACGGATCCACAAGTTAGGTGTGTTTCTACACTCACGGAGCAGTTTCTCGTCGGCACCGACGGCCTCGGCCAATTGCTGGCCGGCGACGGTCCCATGTGGGGGGACGTGTTCGTGGACTCGGAGGTCCACGGCGGTTTTCAAGCACGAACAGAAGTGAAACTGGCGTGGAGCGAGGATTCATCTCAATTAGTGAGCCGGTCTCATGTATGACCCTAAATCCGCTGCTGCCGTACCTACCTGTAAGGACGTGGTGAAGAGGTACATCTCCGGGTCCATGGTCATGGCGATGACCTTCTCGCAGAGGGCGACGATCGTCGACCTTTCGGCGACGTTGTTGCAAGGGAGCACCTGAGGAAGTGATGGCGGCACCTGGGCCAGTTCCAAGCTTCGTTCGAGATGCTGGACATAGCTGGCCAGGGCACTGGTAAGATTGAGGCCCGGGTCTTCACGACAGACAGTTCTGCCATGGTCCGATGGCTCAACCGGCTCTCCGAGCGATCCCATCGTTATGCTTTAGGGTGGCAGAGCTGGTGCAAGTCGGGTGAACCTCCAGAGTTCTTGGGAGGTGATGGAAATCGACGGCGGACTGGGGTTGAACAGAATTCTCCCCGAATATGTGGCCATGGTTCGGAGTATCAAGTGCGTGTCATCAATTCTTCAGTCCCAAAGACCGGTGAGTTTAATTGATGTCAAAGCAAGGAGCTTGCATCGACGTAGGTATGGGAAATTTGCCGGTAGATCTGGGGTTGCGGAGGTTGATTCGGTACAATGCGCGGGCATACTTTCGCCCCCTGGCTTGCGGAAATGTACAGGAGAGTACGGCGTACTCCGTACGCATACCTTACCTCCAAAGGTCCTCCCACATACGATAGTCAGACCCTGCGGCGGTATGTGCGAGCGTCGATCATAGATGTCATGTATCCGATCGCTTCGAAGACACCTCTCAGGGCGGGCCTCGCCGAAGTTTTGTGATCTATCTTATGTATGCTAGAGCAGGAAACGAACCGCTGACAGAGTGCCTCGACCCCATCAGCATGTCGGTGAGGAGATTTACATCATTCTAGTATGGTCATGCAGTCGGGGAAAAATAGGAAAGTAAGGGATAATCGAACAGGATCTACATTGTACGCATGTAGACACGACCAAGCACCCCCCCATATTCTATACGTGTCCAGTACTCCGTAGTCAGAAAAGACAGTACCTATTAATATTCCAGAAAAGGTATCGTGATACAGGTAAGAATTACTCATCTTATTTAGTATTTATAACATATTGCTCGACTATTACAAGTGGGTCTCGGGGACTTGAAGTATTCTACCTGTCATACTCATATCAATTTCTCCGCAGCCCAGCCACAGGATAAATGTCCCCGATGTCGGAAATCTGAGCTGAGAGGATGGTCTGACATCACGATCTCCTGTCACGCCACGACGACGAGGGACTGTTGGAAAGCTCGCAGTCTACATCGGGGCAGGTCTAGGCGTCGTTTCCCACCCTTGTTTGGGAGCATTCTCGACGAACAAGGGACTCATAGTCAGGACAAGAGGTAATTCTATCACTGCATTGGATCCCTAGCTATCTCTAATTCGTGTCTAGACCCGTCCACGGGGCTGATTCTGCAGCCGGGACCATTCCTTGCCCTGCGTCCCACGACAGGAAACTGACAGCGATCGATGAAGCATGGCAAGACCTGACTACTCCACGCATCGGAATTTGGCTGCCTCCGACCAGGAGGGTAGGATCTCGAGCTGATCGCCGGCTGCATTGAGGGCGAGGAACCGGTTGCTGTACTGCCCATCGGGCTCGATCGGGATGAGTCCGAACTGTGAGTCCCCCCCGGATTCCTCAGTCAGCTTGATGCATTTCTGGGCGCGTAATGGCGGTGTGAAGGCAAACCGCAAGGGAATTTGATTCGAATTGAGTTGGATGAACTTGCCTCGTAACCACCATCGCTGAAACCGCGGGGTTCGACCCAGATGTGGTAATTCTGGCCCTGGAGGTGCAGAGTCACCTGCGGAGGTACGGGCGCGCGCACTGATTAGCTCCAATGATCTTCACAGCGGAGCATGCAGAACAAGATCTCCTTCAGGTTCCAGGCTCGGGAGATCTCCTACCTTCTTCGGAGATCCAAACTTGCCGATTTTCTGCCAGAGGGGAGGAGTTAATACAGCGTTCTCTGGCGCTCGTAGGGGGGGGGTTGCCGGCAGAGTCTCAGTACTGACCCCATCGTCCTCACAAAGCCAAAATTCGGCATCTGCACGCAGTTTGGTCTTTGGTTGGTCGCCGTGAATGACTCTGAGATGGCAATGCTCGTCTACGGCCAATGTTTGACCGGTGAGCGAGGTGTAAATCCCAGAGAGCGTCGGCATGGTAAGTGGGTTAGTGGTGTGAGGCTATGAGAGATCATCTGAAGAAAGCCGCCGGGCTTCTGATTATGCCTGTACGTATATATATGTTTATATATTGTTTTAAGAGAGACTGTCAAATGACACGCGCGGCGCCAGTTGCCTGTACTCCTTCCTATCTCTGCACTAGACCGGCAAGTGCCGTGACGAATTATTCTCCCGCGTCGGGCAAGAGAGAGGCTAGTCTCGGCGGTACCATCAATGATCTACACCCCTCCCTTGCATCTGGCTACGCTTCCACCTCCACTCGACCTGTGGCCTGTGGACTTTCGACGATGGGGACCTATCACATTGGTATAGCGGTCAATCCAATGTGCGTCGGTTTGTTGTGGTTTCGAAAGACCATCTCATCTCTATTCGGGCCGAACCTGAAGTATAAGTCAGTATACCATCCGAGTGACTACCGATTGTTCAATCCTTGTCGAGACTGCTACCTTAGCTACCACTTTCTCTTCTTCCTCCTCCTCCTCCTCCTCCTACCCGGGCTTTTACTCAAACCGTCAGCATGGGTTCAATCGGAGATTTGCAATGTCCATTACCAGAAGGCGTGCAATCAGTGCACGCGCCGTCGGTGATGCAGGAGGAGATGATACTATCTACAGTCGCTGATCCCGCCCACGAATCCTATTTTGAGACCTACCACTTCAGCGCCCCGGGAATTGTGAGCCCAGACCAACTCAATGTCGCCATACACGCAGTAGCAGGAAAACATGCGGTACTGCGATCGATCTTCATCCATCAACACCAATCAAGTATGGCAAATTTGCGAATTGCGGTGCTGGACCCGGCGTACGTTCTCCAACGAGCAAAGCTCCTAAGCCTGCAGCCGATAGTCGATGAAGCACTCTTTGGCATCCTCCAGCTGGAAGCCATCGAGACAGATGAGTGGGATGGAACTATGCCGTGGAAGTTCTCTTTGACTGTCAGTCCGCAGCAACAAAAGTCTTCTATCACCCTCAGATATCACCATGCACTGCTTGATGGTTGGTCTGCAAGGGCTCTTCTGGAACTGGTTCAACAGCAGATGCACCTCCCGGAAAAGGTGTTGCAAGAGTCGGATTTCTTTTCTCTAGTGCGCCCGCCGCTCAAACATGATTGGAAGCAGGATGAGACATTGCTCCGCGAACGACTGGGGGAAATTGAGACATCGCCCGTACTCAGCCCGGGGAGAGTGTCAAATGGTGGCCTTGGCGTCGGGGAGGTGATCCGTGAGGTTTCTCTGAGGCTTAATGTCAGTTCACCGGATCGACCAGCTGTTCCCGCACGACTTCTTCGTCTCGCTCTGGCCATGAGTGTGTGTGTTTTTAGCAACAGTGAGGACTCCTTGTTCCTGGAAATTACTTCCGCGCGAAACACGCTCCTCCCTTCGGACCAACACGTATTGGGGCCGGTATTGAGACCCCAAGTGCGGAATATTCGCCTGCAGGAACAAACGAAGCTCGGGGAATGTGCGCAGCTCTTGCGCTCCTCCCACGACCCCCCGCATAGTCTGAGTGTTGGCCAGCTGAAGTCCTTTTTGCCCGAGAGTAGCACAGAGCTGGACGTATGTCTAGTCTGTCAAACCAATCAGTCGTACCCTTCGAACGATGTCGGTGACTGGGGGTGGACCAGCGGGGAAGCACGGAACGACCTCCCATTTATCGTGGAGACTTTACCTCCAAAAGAAGGAGCATTCTTCGTCAAGATCCGATACCACCAGGACCGGTTTCGGGAGGAATTTGCATCTTCTTTTCTTGATTTCTTTTGCCAAACCTTGATGTGGATGCAAGCCACTGGTGATAGCATTGAGTACCGGACATTTGCATCCGCTGTATCGGAAATATGTCACCAGGGGGGTTACAGACAGCGCTATCTAGAGTTGAACCCTAAGGAAGCCCTCCTGGATGACCCTGCATGTGCACACGACCTAATTGAACAAGCCGCTGGCAAGTGGCCCAGCAAGATCGCCTTGGAAACGGAGCATAATCGTTTTATGACATACGCTGAGCTTTCAAGCGCGAGCAGTAGGGTAGCCCAAGGCCTGAGACACCACTTTCCCCATGACCGGAAGGACCAGGCGCTTGTCCCCATTTGCTTTGACAAAGGTGTTGACATGGTCGTTGCCATTTTGGGAGTGCTCAAAGCCGGCGGTGCGTACGTGCCATTAGATCCTTCTCTGCCCAAGGAGCGCCTCGTGAGTATCCTAAGCGTCTGTCATCCAGCTGTGGTCGTCGCTGGCCAGACGGAACTCCAAGAAACTCTGTATTCGACATGCGCTGAGCTAGGTGTCCTGGTGACGTCTATTGACGGCCTTTCCGCGCATGATGCATCTCATAATCAATTAGGTTGGCCGGATCATTCAAGCTCGTCATCCCTGGCATATATCCTGTTCACATCCGGGTCGACAGGGACCCCGAAAGGAGTCATGGTGGAGCACAGGAATCTGGTTTCCTTCATGAAAGCAGGGGAGGGCAATGCAGATGGTACATGGAAATCTACGCGGCTGCAGCTGGCTGCGTACAGTTTTGACGCATCCATCGGAGATATCTTCGCCAATCTATACCGCGGTGGCCGTCTCGTATTGGTACCGCGCAACAAAATGCTTTCGAATGTGAACCACTGGCTGGAGGAGAGGTTAATTACTCATCTCGCATTGACTCCAACGATTGGTAATCTTATCATTTCGCATCTGCCTGCCCGGTTGCGGACGCTTATGTTCGGTGGTGAGCCTTTCCACCAGAGTTTTCTGGCGCAAGCCCCAGCCGAAACGCGAATTTGGAATACCTGTGGTCCTACGGAAACTGTGGTGGATGTTGCCTGCTGCATACTCGACAAGACCAAGGCTGATGAGGTCCCCATCGGTCGACCCTTCGGCCAGTGCCAGGTCTATATCCTACGGCGTGGGACAAGCAGCGATACAGCGGTTCCTCCGAACGCGGTTGGAGAGATATGTGTCGCTGGTCCTCAGGTTTCACGCGGCTATCTGGGGCGACCGGATCTGACCAGCCTTGGGTTTGTCACGGACCCATTTTGTCCATCGCAAAGGATGTATCGCACTGGGGATTTGGGTCGTTTGAATCACAACGGTATGCTAGAACATCTCGGCCGAGCCGATGGCCAGATCAAGCTGCGAGGACTGCGAGTGGAAACAGGCGAAGTGGAGGTGACAATCAAGCAGTCCTCCATCATTTCACAGGTATCTGTCAGTGTCGACCACCTCGGAAGCCATGATCGCGAAGCTCTAGTTGCTTGGATAGTTCCAGGAGCCGGTCAAAGTACGCAAGGCATTGAAGTTGCGTGGAAGGAAGAAATACTGCCCTGTTGCCAGCGGCGGTTGACACCGTACATGATCCCGGAAGTGTGGATCATGGCCTCACATCTTCCCCTTACAGTCAGCGGCAAGCTGAACCGGGGTACTCTATCCTCGTGGGTGAAAAGTGTGGCAAGGGGCGGAACCCACGAAGGTCTACATGTGATAGCTGCACCATGGAAACCACAAGAAACCACAAGGAGACTGCCAACAAGCCCGGCGGAAAAGCTCATCGTAGCCACCTGCGCGGACGTGCTGGGTGCAGCCTTCCATGGCATATCTGTGGACGCAACATTCATATCCCTTGGCGGTAATTCTCTCCTGGCCATGCGTCTCTTGGCCGCACTTCGACAAAAAGGGGTACATTGCTCCTTACGAGACTTGCTGGGCCCCATGACGCTCGCTGATGTAGCAAAAGCCATGTATCCGTCTAGCAGCCCTCAAAAGCAGGCCACCAAGGCATTTTACCGTGAGGACAGTTGGAAACAGATTGTTGCTAATACCAGTATCGCTGTTGACACGATTGAGGCAATTTATCCATGCACTGCACAGCAAGAGGGCCTCATCCAGAGCAGCCTTCAAGGAGGAAAGTCCACGTACTTCGCAGCGATAATCATACGTTTAGGTAGTACCATCAACCTGGACACGTTCCGGAAAGCCTGGAAACGATTGGTACTTGGGTGTGACATCTTGAGAACCGCGTTTGTATCATCCTCGCAAGTAGAACATCCGCCGTCCAGGGAGTCCAACATCCTTCAGGTCGTTTTGAACGAATCCGCCGCGGACGTGAGACGGGTGGCCAGCCTGAACAACGGAGATGTTGCGTTCGAATTCGGAGTCGTCCCTCTCTCGGCAGGAATCACCCAAGAGTCTGTTGATGAGCCGTGGATGTTACACCTCCGAATCCACCATGCTTTATATGATGAAGCATTACTATCCAGAATCACCGCCGAGCTTTCCGTCCTGTACGAAACACAGGAAGTAGGAAGTCCAGTCACTGCTTTACCCCCAAGCCGGCCGTTCTCCGCTTTTGTGGAGTCCCTCTGCACCGATGACCCAGCGCTCTCGAAGGGATTCTGGAAGGACTACCTGCACGAAGCGGTTCCCGCAACTTGGCCCCTGACAAGTGGGATTCGCAGAACGCGAGAGGAAAGAGACCAAGATACAGAAACATGTCTCTCCAAAAAATGGGCCGGAAATGCTGTTGCTTTGGGCCGGATGTTCCAAGCAACACCTGCGTCAATTGTACGAGCTGCATTAACTCTGGTACTGGCACAGTACTCTCAGACGGATGACGTGGTGTTCGGTGAAGTTTCCAGTGGCCGATCGGATCATGATTGCTTTACCTTAGGTCCTTGCCTCGCCACGCACCCTGTCCGCATCCAGATTGATCGCAAATCGCCATCGTTGATGCACAAGCTTGTGGCCGACGCATTGAAATCATATCTAACCACAATACCGCATCAGCATTTGGGGCTAGCTAATATTCACCGACAGATGTCTGATGCTGGATTGATGGCCTTCCAGGTTCTCTTTGCCCACCAGGAGACATTTGCAAAGTATAGTGCTGCTGCTGGTCGTTTCCACGTGGAGTCGGCGAGGTTGCAAAACCTTGGGTTTCCCCTCATACTGGAATCGAGATGCGATAAAGACACTGGTGAACTTGCGCTGGAATGCACCATTGACCGGCAATACTTGGGAGAGCAGGATGCTAAGTGGTTTCTACGATCTATATGCCGTACGCTCGACATACTCTCAGCCGTTGCTGAGGGGAAGGTCTCTGAGCCAGAACTCATGACGGCCGTTGTGGATGAGGAGATGAGGCAGACTCTCGAGAACTGGTCGACAAAACGCACCCCGTTTCGTTCAACACCTGCAATGAATCCGGAAATGTGTGTCCATGAGCTTTTCGAGATGCAGGCCAATCTGACGCCACAGAAGATCGCCCTTCAAGTGAATCAATCCCGTTTCATCACATACAATGAGCTGAACAGACGATGCAGCGAACTGTCCAACGCGTTGCTGAGCTGGCTCGACAGCTCGGGGTTTGAACTCTCACGAGATCAACAGATCATCCCGCTTTGCTTCAACGATGCCGTCGACATGGTGATTGCTATGATTGCTGTGTTGAAGGCAGGTGCAGCATATCTACCAATAGACCATCATCATCCACAGGACCGAATCCACCAACTACTCTCCTTATCAGGTGCCCGAGTGATGGTGGGCGATCGCTCGGTGGAAACAATGGAAAAGCTGCAGGCTGCGAGCAAGCAGGCACAATGTGGCATCGTTAGCATTGAAAGGCTGCTGAGTCTGCATGGGCGGCAGACAGTGCGAATTCCCTGGCTTAAGCCCACCCCGCAATCTCTGGCGCATGTGATTTTCACATCGGGGTCGACTGGAAGGCCCAAAGGGGTGATGGTCGAGCATCGGAATCTAACAGCTTTCATGCAAGCGAATGAACCGGAGGCGATAGGAACCTGGACTTCAGCACGGCTGCAATTGGCCACTGCCACCTTTGATGCAGCAACAGGGGAAATCTTCGGCACGCTGGGATCGGGTGGGCGACTGATCCTAGGGCAGTCGACCCATGAACTCTTGGCCACTTTGCCGGACTGGCTGGATAGAACGGTGATAACCCACCTCTTTGTCACACCTCGCGTCGCGGCCAACTTCTTGACCGATATTGACCCTCCGTACCTCCGTACCCTTCACGTTGGCGGGGAGGCCTTTGACCCCAGCATCCTACCACGCCTGCCCGCTGGGTGTGACGTGTATAACGTGTTTGGTCCAACCGAGACCACAATATACGCAACACAGTACAAAACTCGGAAGGACGACGCATATCGCCGCAACATTCCAATTGGGTATCCCTTCGGGGGCTGTCGGCTATACGTTCTCAATCCGGAGACCTTAGAACAGGTTCCCGTGGGCGTGACAGGCGAGATTTGTATCGGAGGTCCACAAGTCACTCGAGGCTACCAAGGCCGGCCGGATCTGACATCTCGGTCTTTTCTGAGTGATCCTCGCGTTGCCGGCCAACGCTTGTACCGGAGTGGGGATCTTGGGCGGCTCTGTGGCGATGGATCCATCGAGCATCATGGGCGAATTGATAGTCAGATCAAATTGCGTGGTCTACGAATTGAGGTATCGGAGATCGAGTCGGTGTGTCTAGAACATGCGATAGCCACCGCATGTGCAGTAACTGTGCTTGATCGAGACGAGGGTCAGGTTCTCCTCGCCTTTGTCCAAACCGAGAAGGACCACCAAACAAGCCCTGGTTCGGAAGCGTGGAGTCAAGCGGAGGGGATGATACATCGCCATCTGGAGAGCCGTCTGCCTAGCTATATGGTCCCCGCTCGTTTGCTTCCTATCGAAGACATGCCTTTGACCACCAGCGGGAAGGTCGATCGACGCGAACTTGGTGCTCGAGCCGAGCGGATGGACCAGGAAGGAAAACTATTCACCCCACAGCATACCAATCATCGCGAAGGCTGGGTTCCAGGTACGACTGAAGATAAAATCGCTGACGCATGGGCGCAGGTTCTTGGGGTCGACAAGGCAAACATCACCCAAAATATTGCATTTTCTCGTCTTGGGGGTGACTCGATTCGTGCCATTCGTCTGCTATCGCTGCTCCGGAAAGCCGGATTGAAGCTCAATATGACCGATGTGAGCAACGCGTCTACGATCCGGTCACTGGCACAATGCGCAGCCGCCCATGTCAATGTGCCCGCAAGGAGTACGGCAGAAGCAACCGACATCGATGCGCATAGTGGTCCAGTGGCGCTGGGTCCAATTGCTGGCAGATATGCTAGCATCCAGTTGAAGCATGCTTCCCAACGTGGTGAGCAGGTGATAAATCATTTCAATCAGTCGGTGCTGCTGGACGTGACTGGAATCTCCATAGTACGGCTGCAGCTCGCCTTACAACGTCTTCGCAGTCACCACGATACTTTACGCGCGATAGTCCACTGGAGCTTCGATCTCCCAATGGAGGAGTGGACCGTCAGGGCTCTTCCTCATTCAGACATGGAACCACTAAGCCTTGATACCCCGCGGATGACCCTCACGCTCGAAGCCCTAGGTGCGGAGATCCAGCATCGACTAAGTGGATTAGACATCCGGCGTGGGAAGGTCATGGATGCCGCTCTCTATTGCATCGACGGAGATGCCCGTGTCTTCCTATTCTGGACCATCCATCATTTCGTGGTTGACATTGTGTCCTGGCACATTCTTCTTGAGGACTTAAACGCCTTGGTGCAGGCAAAGGAGGAACCGGAATCGGTTGTTCTGCAGCCGGCAACTATGGGCTTTTTCACATGGACGCGTCAGGGCCAGATTAAGCATGAAGCTGGGTCACTGGCCACAGGCAGTACACTAGATGCACCACCAGAAAGCCCAGTATCTTCATTTGCCTCCGATCAACTGCCCTTGTGGGTTCGCAAGCCGGGGCTGGTTCCAATTCACCCGATCAATCGCACCACAACGGTAGCCAGACTGAACTCAAGCATCACAGAACTACTTCTTGGTCGCTCAAACAGCGTGCTTTCGACGGAACCTCTGGATCTACTACTAGCAGGGCTGGCCATGACAATTTCCAAGCACTTCGCAGGCGCCGTTCGCCGTCTTGTAATCGGCTTGGAAACCCATGGTCGACACACTGGAACCAACAACGCCGATCTCTCGCGATCAGTAGGTTGGTTTACCGCGATTATGCCCATGCTTCTTGACTGCGGAGAGGAATCATCGTCTATCGAGTCAATAGTACGTCGAGCTAAAGACCAGCGCCAACTTCTGATGAAAGACGACCGAGGATTTCACCATTTCCTGGGCTCCCGCTGGGGTACCGCCAAGGTCCCCAATAGCGAGATGATGGGTCTGGTTTTCAACTACCAGGGGGTCCGGCAGCAGGCTCGGGGCCAGGATGAAATGGTTCTGCATCCGGTTCAACTTCCAGGGTTAGGCTGGAAGGATACTTGTCCAGATGCCGTGCCGCTGTCGCATGCCGCACTTGAGCTCTATGTGTATGACAAGCAGACTTATATCGAGGCTACATGGCCGTCAGAAGGTGCGATGGACGGCGGTAATGTCGCCGAACTCTTAGGTCAACAGATTACAAGTATCTGCCAGTATCTCGACGAAAAGGATCGTCTGGGGCAGACGTCAATCAGTGCGTCGTCGACGTCCGCGTTCGGGGTGCTGCCTGGAGACTGCTTTGATCGTGTGTTTCGCCTGTACGCCGAAGACACACTGGAGGATATCATCCCTTGTACCCCGATGCAACGGGCCCTACTTTACGAAGGAATCGCCGATCATGAATCGCCTCGGTATGTGACTAGCCGCGTCTGGCGCATCCCCACAGATAGGTCAATGTGTTCGCAGATCGAGGAGGCCATTCGCAGCCTGGTCCAGCGACATGAGGTGCTGCGGACGGTTTTACACATCGATCCCGAAGTCGGGCCTTTGGCCCTGGTTTTACGTGATACTCAAACTCTCGCTACAAGCGCGGTTGGGCAAATAGAGGTTAGAAATCATACCGAGCTGGAGGAGATGGTGGCGAGCTTGTTGCGCAACTCTGAGTATGGAAATCCATTGAAGCAACCGTTCTGCACTCGAGTCGTGCGCGCCACGGATGGGTCGGCGGCGCAATTGATCTGGCTACTGCACCACAGTTTGATCGATGCCTGGAGCCAGGATATGCTGTTTGGCGAGTTGACCCAGATCCTTGTGGATGGCTGCCCGACCGAATCCCTGACGCCGCGACCTTCTTTTGGCTCCTTTGCTCGCTATGTGGCTTTGGACAGCCGCTCAGACCAGACCCACGGGGGGTTCTGGTCGAAGACCTTGTATGGAGTACAACCTACCACATTCCCTTTCTCCTTGATGTCTTCACGGCCGATGGATGCCGATGCAGTTGTCGTGGAACAGACCTGTAATCTCGCCACGCTATCCGAAAATTGCATATCGCCTGCGGCACTGGTGTCACTGGCGTGGAGTTTGGTCCTCTCCGAAATCCTCGATACCAGTGATGTCACTCACGGAATGCTATTCTCAGGGCGACAGGTTCCACTGGATGGTGTAGCTGATATTATCGGCCCCTGTATCAGCACGGTCCCGATCCGTACCCAATTGAACCGGCACGGCAGGGTCCTGGATCTTCTACAATCAACAGAGACTGCGATTTCCTTGGCGGGCGCCCACAGTATTATTGGGATCGATGGCGTGGCTCGGGCAGCTGGGGTGGAGGCGCCGGCCTTGGTGAATACGCTGCTTAATTTCTTTGGCGTTCGGACGGACGTGCTCGAGGATGATAGCATGAATACCATGCTGGAACTGGACAGCGTTGACGATGGACTACCCCCCTCAATTACGCTGTCGTGCTGGCAGCGGCAGACCGAGGCCAACACTATCGTCATGCGCCTCGAGCGTCGACATCCTCTGCAGGCGGGCATTGCACAGTGCCTGATGGAGCGCATGGCCTGGTATTGCCATTCGCTGTCCTACCAGACGCATCGAACACTCGACAGTGTTTTATCGATCACTCCCGATGAAGACCAACTGCTGACTGAATGGAGCAAGTCCGTCGACGCGCCGCTATCTGACGCGTATCCTTGCATCCACGATCTCATTGCGAGATGGGCAGCGGAGGTCCCAGAAAAGGTGGCGATTCAGGTTGCAGAATCCCAGTTTGTGACGTACCGGGAGATAGATCAGATGTCCACGGCCGTCGCCAGAGTGATCCAACAACTAGTTATTGATCAATGGTCTGGACCTACTCCGCCGCTCATCCCCATCTGCTGCGACCGGGGTGTTGACATGGTGATCGCGATTCTTGCCGTACTGAAGGCTGGAGCAGCGTATGTACCGCTGAATATCTCCGATCCAGAGGGACGGCTAGAGACTATCTTGCGTCAAACCCAGTCTAGGATCCTCATCGACGGCTTACTTGGCGAGGATAGCCGTCGCAAATTGTATGCAGTTGGTGATCGCACGTCGACCTCGGTGTACACTATCAACGATCTCTATGCAATGCCTTCCTCGAAGGCCCTCCTGCCCCAAGTTCGCTCGGGGTCGCTTGCGTATGTTCTTTTCACCTCCGGATCCACGGGGGAGCCTAAAGGCGTGATGATCGAGCACCGCAATCTTACCTCATTCATCGCCACGCAGCACGATGAGCTGATCGGCCGGTGGACGAGTTGCCGTATGCCCGTGGCAGCATATACATTTGACGTTTCCATGGCTGACCTATTGACCGGTCTGGCGATCGGTGCCCGCGTGGCATTGGTGGACAGTAAGAGAATGTTGGCCTCCCTGCCAGACTGGACCGAGCGAATGCTAGCCACGACTCTCTCCATGACCCCGACCCTGGCCTCTCTTCTCGCCAGACAGCTTCCGCCGCTGGTAGCCTTCCTGCTGCTCGCAGGCGAGGTTTTTGACCCCACCATCATGAAGGCGCTTCCCCGTGAATGTCGTGTGTGGAATGGATATGGCCCGACAGAAACTTTCTATGCATCTTTCCACTTTGTGGACGCACAGACAACGTACGCCCAGGGACAGGTCCCCATCGGACGGCCGTTTGGTGGTAACCAAATATATATTCTTCGCCCAGGCAGTGACGACCGTCGGCCCATTGGCGCAATCGGCGAGATCTGCATTGGCGGGACCCAGGTTGCCCGCGGATACCTTGGCCGAGAGGATTTGAGCAATCGATCTTTCACCAGAAGCGCATGCAATGACCAGACGGTGCTGTACAGGACGGGCGACCTCGGGCGGTTCATTGATCGTGGTGTGATCGAATACCTGGGCCGCATGGACGACCAAGTCAAAATCCGGGGCCAGCGAACCGAGCCCGCGGAGATCGAGTCAGTTCTTCACAGCGCCTCGCCTCACGTAGCCCATGCGATTGTGGATGTCCATCCTCCCAAGCAAGGGGCCGGGCCAGTGCGCGTGATTGCGTTCATCGCAATAAGAGATGCCGTGTCTCCCAGCGGGTGCGAAACGCTCATCCAAGCGGAGGTAGAGTCCGCTTGTCGAAATCATCTTCCAGCGCATATGATCCCATCCACGTGGGTCCATGTGCGCACAGTGCCCCTTACAGCCAGTGGTAAAGCAGACAAGAAGAAGCTACGTTCCTGGTTGTTGGCGTTGGAGGACAGGGAAACAGTGCCCGAGATATCAATCATTGAATCATTTCCGTCGGAGCAAGTGCACGATATGGATGGTTCGCAAGGCCCGGACAGTCCTCGTGAGGCGATCCTGAGACAGTCATGTGCCCAGCTATTCAAAGTGGATGAGGATAAGATATCATTGGGATTGTCTTTCATATCATCCGGGGGTGATTCTCTGTTGGCATTGCAGTTGAATGCTCGGCTAAGAGAGAAGGGATTCAAATGTACCCCTCGCGACATTGTGGGGGCTCAGAGCCTGGCTGAACTAGCAAGCAACCTGGAATCCTCGAATGAGAATGTGCCCCCGGCACCCATTGTCGACTGGACACTAGATCTGGACGAGATGGCACGTCTCCCAGCCAACGGTATCGCGGACTGGGAGACGATAGTGCAACATGCTGGGATTGATCCCAACCAGGTCCAATGCGTCATGCCGTGTACACCCTTTCAAGAAGGCATGCTCTCGAGCAGCGACGCGAATGGAAGCTCGGTTGGATACTTGGCGCACATGAACATCGGCCTGGGCAAGCAGATTGATATTGACGCCCTCAAGTATGCTTGGCAGGAAACCGTTGACCAGGAGGATATGCTGCGGACCACGTTTATACTCACCCCTACGACCGATGCAGATACATCAGGACCTGAGCAGGACGGCGCACTCCTCCAAGTGGTTTTATCTCCTCAATCGTCGCAAGTAGGTCGGGTTAAGTCATTGCAGGTGTTTAGTCACGCTCCGCTTCCTTATCTGCAGGGGGAAACTGAGCAGGGCTACCATATCCCTATCGCTGTCGCTGTTGCGATCGAGAACCAGGACGACGAGGGACAAAAATGCACACTTCACATCACAATGCATCATGCGCTGTATGACGAGGCGTATCTATCCTTGTTACTGAAGGATTTGTCCGCTAGATACCGGTCGATCGTATGCAACCAGGGCGTCGATGAAGTGTTTCCACGAGACCAACGAATCCCATTCGCCACCTATGTGCGCTTCGTGCATTCGAAGCTAGGTCAAACACCGTCCGCATCTCCTGCTGGCGAATTCTGGAAACGCTATCTGGCGGATGCGGTTCCCAGTACATGGCCACTTTCGCACGGGATGCAAAGCTCCATCACTTCAGCGATGAGTCCAGAGACGTCGGCGATGGAATGGACCGGCAACCTTCGAGCCGCGGCTTCTAGCCTCCAAGTGACTGTTGCGGCGATGGTTCGTGCAGCATTAGCTCTGACGGTGGCCGAACACGCCAATGTTACTGACGTGGTCGTCGGGGAGGTTTCCAAGGGCAGACCCGATATTCGCCGCCACGGCGATTCAACATCGAGGTTCATTGCAGGGCCATGTGCCACTACTCATCCAGTGCGGATCCGATTAGCTGGCGAAGATGGAAGCAAAAGACATACAATGCTACAGCTCTTGCGCGAGTCTTTCACCTCCTACATGGAAACCCTCCCCCACCAATTTTACGGCCTTTCACGCATCCGAGAGCAATCCAGCCGCGTAGACCTCCTGCCGTTCCAAGTTCTCTTTGTCTATCAGGACGCGTTTCGCAGTGAAGAAGGACTCGCGGGAGACGGCGCCTTCCAGATCCAGGCGGGTCACTTAGGGCAAATGGGGTTCCCTATGGTTGTTGAATGCGCCTGTCTCCCTGGGGATTCCGGGGTGCTGCTTCACTGCACCTATGCACCAGATGTGATTGACAAGCAGGGCATTGAATGGTTCCTACACCATCTCGCGCAGTCGCTTAATGCTCTCGTGCAAGTGGACGCGACCGGAAGTGGCAGTATGAGGTTGGCACGAGTCCCTCTCAGCTCGCGGGAGGCTCGTCAACTTGAGCTATGGAGCCGCAGTCATCGAGCAAATGAGGATAACAAAGTCAAAGATACTCGACCCACGTCTCTAACGCACGCTTTTGAGGATGTTGCGAGAAGGATGCCTGAGAAGGTTGCTTTGCAATCTTCACAACATGAATATGTGACTTACAGTGAAATGCAACAGCGAAGCACGGACATGTCCCTGGCGCTACAAAGATATATAGCCTCATTGGACGGCATCAGCTCTGAACATCTTGTTATTCCAATCTGCTTCGAGCGCACTACGGACATGGTCGTCGCGATCCTGGCGGTCCTGAAGGCAGGCGCAGCATTTGTACCGCTCGAGCCGGGCTACCCAGTAGAGAGGCTTATCAGTATCGTGAGGACGACCGGTGCTCCGCTCATTGTCTGTGGAGTGACGGAAAAAGACAATGAAACCCTGGTCGCGGTGTCCAATGCAACCAACAAAAGCCTTGTTACCCTTGATGATCTGAAATCCACCCCTACCTCGGGCCACACTGTACTCGCACAACAGTGCAGGGACGAATCTCGCCTTGCTTATGTGTTGTTTACGTCGGGCTCGACAGGGAACCCGAAAGGCGTGATGATAACGCACGGCAATTTACTCGCCTTCATGCAACATAATGACCCGGATGTGCATGGAAGGTGGTATAACTCTCGGATGCCGGTGGCCTCGTATACGTTCGATGTTTCTATGGCAGACATCCTCACAACCCTTTGCTCCGGTGGCAGGGTAGTGCTCGTTCCAGTACAGAAGCTATTCTCTTCCCTGGGCGCCTGGGTTGATGATTCAATGACGTCTCACATCTCTCTCACTCCGACAATCGCCAACATTCTCTGGGAGCCTGTCAAGAACGCTGGGGTAGTCTTTCCATTCCTCAGCGTGTTGTTATTGGCTGGCGAAGTATTCGATGTGCAGCTTCTGAACTATCTCCCAGAAGAATGCCGGGTCTGGAATGGTTATGGCCCGACTGAAACGTTCTACGTGACGTTCTATCATATTCCCAAAGCACGTACCAAGGGACAAAGCTCAGTCTCAATTGGATACCCCTTCGGAGAGAATGAAGTCCATCTCTTGGGGGTTGAATCTCATGATCGTGTACCAGTTGGATGTATTGGTGAGATCTGCGTGACGGGCCCACAAGTCGCACGCGGATACCTTGGCCAGCCAGAGCTTACAGAGCGACATTTCCAGCGCCATATCCTAGACCAGCAGACATCGGAAGGCCTCCTGTATCGGACAGGTGATATGGGAAGGTTCCGTCCCGATGGAAAACTAGAGTACCTAGGTCGACTCGATCGCCAAGTCAAGATCCGTGGTCAACGCGTGGAGCTCGCGGAGATTGAGGCGGTGATCTCACAGCATGATTTGTTGGACGGCTGTGCGGCCGTGGTGGTGAATCGTCCCACTGGAGATACCCTGTGTCTCTTCTGCGTGGCGGCGTCTGACCAAACCCCTAGCAAGGTGTGGGACGCCAATGCTGCCGCTCAAATCAAAGCGTGGGTTGCCACCAGACTTCCGGCACACATGGTGCCCTCATACCTCTTCCCATTGGAAGGGGGGCTTCCTCGCGTTCCCAGTGGGAAGGTAGACCGCCGACTGCTAGCTCATAGAGCCACAAGTCTGTTAGCAGACCCTGCGTTATCCAATCTGGATCAGGACACGTATATTGGACCTACGACGGAGAGAGAGAAGGTAATCTGCGACATTTTCGAGGAAACCTTGGGCCGGCGGGTGAGTATATTGGACAATTTCCTCCACCTTGGAGGACATTCCATACTCGCCATTCGAGCAGTATCCAAGATCAATAGTCGCCTCCACGTCCATCTTTCCTTCAAAGATGTGTTTGACTTTCCAACCGCTCAAACTTTGGCACGACGACTCGACTCCACAGCCATGAGCCAACAACAACTGTATACTTCAATTCCCAGGCTTCCTCGGGATAAGACGACAGTCAGGCAGTCATTTGCTCAGGGCCGACTCTGGTTCTTAGACCAGTTGCATCCGGGGTCAACTTGGTATCTGATGCCCTTTGGGCTTCGCATCAGGGGAGAGCTGCATCTCGATGCGTTGGAGGCCGCTGTGTCCGCGATTGAGGAGAGGCACGAGACACTTCGGACGACCTTTGAGCACCGCGACGGGCAAAATATCCAGGTCATACGTCCATTTGCACACCGTCCGCTCAGGGTGGTTCACGTGCCGTACACAGCGGGCGAAGAAGGCCTCCTTCGCGCCCTGAAGGAGGAACAGTCCACCCCATTTGATCTCCAAAAGCACCCAGGGTGGCGACCACTCGTCATTCGCCAGAATAACAGGTCTCATATTCTATCGATCGTGATCCATCATATTATCTGCGATGGTTGGTCTGTCGGAGTGCTGCTGAAGGAACTGAGTACGTTCTATTCTGCTGCACTTCATGGCAGTAGCCCCATCCATACTCAGCTGCCACCGCTACCCATCCAATACCGCGACTTCTCCGCGTGGGAGAACCAAGAAGGCCAAAAACTCGAGCATGATCGCCAGCTGAAGTATTGGATCGAAAGGCTCGCGGGCAGCAAGCCGGCCGAGTTCATTGGTGATAAGCGAAGGCCTCCAGCCCCGTCGAGGCAAGCAATCTTCGAGGAGGTTCGCATCCATGGTGCGATATACGACCGCTTATGCCAATACTGTAAGCAGCATCAGCTCACACCTTTTATTGTTCTACTGGCCGTCTTCCGAGCCACCCATTACCGCCTGACAAAGGAAGCCGATGCGACCATCGGTACACCGATTGCCAACCGAGGGCGCGAAGAGCTGCACGACATCATTGGACTCTTTGTGAATGTGCAGTGCATCCGGCTCCAGGTCGATGATCATGATACCACGTTCGAGGACCTTGTCAGTCAGGCCAAGTCCGCCGCGACAGATGCCTTTGCCCACCAGGATATCCCTTTCGATCGGATCGTGTCCGCCCTGCAGCCTGACCGAGAAACCACCCAGAATCCCTTGGTACAGACGGTGTTTGCCGTCCATCCGCAAACACAAGGGAAAGAGCAGCTGGAGGGGCTGGAGACCGAGCAGATCCTTCTGTCACGTACCACTCGGTTTGATCTCGAATTCCACCTCTTCCAAGAAGAGGATGGCTTAAGCGGTCAAGTCGTGTTTGCGCAAGATATCTTCTTCTCTGAAACCGTAAGAGCGATGATTTCGGTGTTCTACGCGGTGATGGAGTGCGGGCTGAACCAGCCAAGCACAACCATTGCCTCCATGCCCTTGCTTAATGACAGCTTGCTGCATGACATGGACGATCTACTAGACATCAAGCGGACAGATTACCCGCGGAATGCCACTGTAGTGGATCTATTCCGCCTGGAAGCACGATCACATCCCGACAGCGTTGCTATATTGCATGAAGGAAAGGAGCACACGTATGGGGATCTCGACCGCCAGTCGGATCGTATCGAAAGGTGGCTCCGCAGTCAACACCTTGATCCGGAGACCATCGTCGGGGTGCTCGCAGCACGATCCGCTGAAGCAATCGCCATTTTCCTCGGGATTATGAAAGCGGGCCTCGCGTACTTACCACTGGATGCCAGTACTCCACACACTCGCATTTGCAGCATCCTGTCATGTGTAGATGGAAAAATACTGGTGATTGTGGTGGACGAAGCTCGGGTTGCTGTACCCGATGTCGGATTGGCTCACGTGGAGTTCATTACCCTCTCTCGCATCATCAAAGATGGCGAGCGACAGGAGATATCGGACGGTCAGGGGCTGGACGCTAAATCTTCAACAGCATCTGCGACCAGCCTAGCATGCGTCCTGTTTACTTCAGGGTCGACAGGAACGCCCAAGGGAGTGTTGATCGAACACCGTGCAATTGTTCGAATGGTCAAAGAACCTAACTTCACCCGAGCCGCAGGCAAGCCCCTCGCTCATATGGCGAATCTTTCCTTTGATGTATCTGTCTGGGAAGTCTTTATGCCTCTCCTTAGTGGTGGCATGGTGGTATGCATTGATGCGATGACCGTGCTGGACTATAAGCGCCTGAGCGATGCATATGCTCGCCACAGCGTGCGAGCGGCCATGTTCACCCCGGCCTTATTCAAACAATGCCTGCATGAGACCCCTCTCATTGTCAAGACCCTGGATCTTTTGATTCTCGGCGGAGATCGTCTCGATCCTGAGGATGTCGCCAGGGCCAAGCAATTCACCCAGGCTACCATCTTAAACGGATACGGGCCCACAGAGAACATGGGGGCGAGTACTCTATACCCGCTGCTCGACGACGAGGCATATGCAAATGGTGTGCCGATCGGGAAGCCAATAAGTAACTCTGGGGCGTATGTGACGGATGATTCGCTCAAGATTGTCCCTCAAGGCGTGGTCGGGGAGCTGGTTGTCACGGGCGATGGGCTAGCCAGGGGATATACCGATCCGGACAAGAATGAAGGTCGCTTTGTAGACATGGTCATCGGCAACGAGGTGGTCCGGGCATATCGGACGGGGGATTATGCGCGATGGAGACCGGTTGATGGGCAGCTGGAGTACTTTGGCCGTCGAGACGACCAGGTCAAAATCCGCGGCAATCGGGTGGAAATGGGGGAGATTGAATACACCCTCCTCTCCCACGGCGCAGTCCGCAGCGCTGCCGCCGTGGTGAGCGGAACGGGGGCAGATGTTGACCTTGCAGCCTTTGTGGTATTGCATCCGATCCACGACGAGGTGGCGGAGACGGAGCGGGTGGATGCATGGAAGACTGTCTTCGATACAGAGGCGTATGACAGCTTCACCCTTCAGCCCGACAGACTGGGAAGAGACTTTGTCGGGTGGCTCTCGATGTATGATGGATGCAGTATTGACCTTCTCGCGATGGAAGAGTGGCTGGATGACACCCTTCGGGCCTTGTTGAACGGACAAGACCCTGGAAAGGTCTTGGAAATCGGCACGGGGTCTGGCATGATCCTCTTCAACATTGTCCAAGGGCTGGACGAGTATGTTGGGATTGAACTGGTGCCGAAGCTCGCCCGGATGGTCGAGCAAGTGGCCAACGCAGACGAACGACTGGCAGGGAAAGTAAAGGTCCACACAGGCGTGGCTGACCGTATCGAGGATTTCATTTCTGGCTTCGTCCCCAATCTGGTCATCATCAACTCCGTCGCGCAATACTTTCCCAGTGCGGCCTATCTCTTGGAGATTATCGAGAAACTGACGCGGCTGGAGGGTGTCCAGACATTATTCTTTGGCGACATCCGGTCCTACCCTCTGTACGACGAGTTTCTGGTATCGAAGGCGTTGCATAATGACGGCGCGAAGGCAACTCGAGATCAGGTACGGAAGTGTATGGAAGAATGCAGAGCCGCCGAGACCGAGTTATTGGTGGATCCTGCGTTCTTCACCTCCTTGACTAGTCGATTCCCAAATCGGGTCGAGCACGTTGAGGTTCTCCCCAAGCTGATGAGTGCCACGAACGAGCTCAGCTGCTACCGCTACTCGGCCGTGGTTCACATGAAACATGCTACAGCACCGCCGCGCACCATTTACCAGATTAACGAGAGCCAGCGGATCGACTATTCATCGCGGTCCTTGAATTCGCGGAGCTTGCTGGAGCACCTGCGACAATCGCATGATGGCAGACCCATCATAGCCGTGGAAAACATCCCAAATCGCAGGATAATCCTTGAGAAATACATAGTGGATGCCCTCGAAGAGGGAAGTCCTCCTCCCTCTCGCCCCATGGACAATCAGAGTCACTGGCAGGTCTATCACCGTAACCGAGCAGCACAGACCTCAGCCTTGACACCGGGAGATTTGGTCTCCATAGCCAACCAGGCAGGATTCCAGGTCAACATTAGCTGGGCTCGACACCGGTCACAGCGTGGGGCATTCGATGCAATTTTTCATCGACTGAAGCCAGATTGTCTACAACAGCGGGTATTGTTCAACTTCCCAGCTGATCATCAGGGCCAGGACATCGGCTCATTCACCAACCATCCCGTCCAGAGTCAACAAAATCAACAGTGCATAAGTGAGCTCAGGGAGTACTTGCACGCGCAGCTTCCAGCATACATGGTTCCACGCACCATCACCGTCCTCGATCAGCTACCCCTGACAGATCGTGGCAAGGTCGACCGCCAGGCCCTTCGCCTGCGAATCACACAGCAAGAACCAGCAACCACCAAAATGCAGCCGAGTTCCGATAGAGAAACAGTAGATTTCGGCACTGGAACTGAGCGAGCCATTTGCAATGTATTTGCGGAGGTATTAGGACTGCAGGCTTCTGTTGACAGAGAAAGCAGTTTCTTTAGCCTGGGGGGTCATTCTCTGCTGGCTCCCCGCCTGGCGGCTCAGCTATCAAAATGCCTGGATTGCACGGCGACTGTCCGAGACGTCTTCGACTGCCCGACGCCTGCGAAATTAGCGGATCGTTTACATTCAAAACAGTCAGATAGTAATAGGGACGCGAGCTCCACGATTGACAGTCAAACGAATACCTTTGCGCTGGACAAGGTCAAACACCAGAACGCCCTTCGCGACTGGGGAGTTGAATCCGACGGAGTGAGTCACTTGATGCCTTGCACTCCCTTTCAAGAAGGTGTTTTGTCGAACTTCCTAGCTGCACCAGAAGACTCCGGCTACTTGAGCGTGGTACGGCTAGGCCTGGAGTCACAACTTGATGTGGAGGCGATTCGGCTCGCATGGCAAGCAGTGGTTCATCGCGAAGAGACCCTCCGCACGGCTTTTATTCCCGTTGCTGGGGATGTGTCTGCATCATCCATTACCTCCAGCACTTTTTGGCAATGCGTCTTCGACAACAACTCCCCCGAGGTCCAACGGCTTTTGTCTATCGACGAGCAAGATAGGCAGCGGGACCGCCCTGCTTTGGGCTTTGGCCATATTCCAGTATCGTTGGCTTTGGTGGACGGACCAACCTCGTGCAAGGCCGCCAGGGATAGTTGCTCGCCCCAACTCGAACTCACCATCCATCACGCTCTATATGATGAGGCGTATCTCAGATGGATCATTCAGGAAGTTTCCCACGAGTATCATAAAGCTCGACTAGAGGAAGATCGTATTCCCCAGCGGCCAACTGACATTTCTGTGAACATGATTCCGTTCCGCACGTTTGTCTCTCAGCTGCAGGCGGTTCCAAAGGGAGGTGCAGCCTCATTCTGGAAAGAATATCTAACTGGGGCCCCTGCCGCGTCCTGGCCGGTTGCGAGAGGACTGGAGCGTGGGAGAATAACAGAAATCGATGAGTTCTCGACCCGGTCTCTGACATGGAAGGGAAACATGCATGATCTAGCTGGAGCTAGAGCAGTCACTCCTGCCGCGATTTCACGAGCTGCAGTGGCGCTCGTCATAGCCGAGCACAGTGGTGTGGAAGACATCGTTATTGGCGAGGTGTCTAGTGGAAGATCCATCTATGATGGCGCTCCTGGGTTCGTCGCCGGTCCTTGTATCTCAACACACCCTGTGCGGATACGCATGCAACAGAGGCAGGGATCGGGCAGCAGCAGTCAGCAGAGACTGTCCTTTGACCAGTTGGTCAAACATTCGCTGGATTCCTATTTGGAGACCGTGCCCTACCACCAGCTCGGCTTGCCCAGTATCCGACGGCAATCCGATGCCCCCGATCTCCTGCCATTTCAAGTGCTTTTTGTTTATCAGCAGGCTTTCAAATTTGAGACGCACGCTCCGGAAGAAGAAACATTCCCCGACTTCAAGGTCCAAGGGGGTCACCTGGGTCGGTTTGAGTTTCCTGTCGTGCTGCAAGCAGCCTGCCATCCAGTCACAGGTCACCTGAATCTACAGTGCATGTTTGATCCCACGGTTCTCATTCCAGAGGACATCGATTGGTTGCTCGAACACATATCTCAGGTTCTCAATTTCATCGCCGAGAGTCCCTCTCAGCCCAATGCCAGGCTCACGGTTAGTGACGCGGAAGAGGCAGCGTTGGCAAAATTCGCGGGCGAGACAGGGCAAACCCCAGAACCACTGTTGAATACTGCTGACGAGTCGCTGTGCGCTCATGATATGATATCGCAACGGGCCATGGAGAACCCTGACAAGATAGCTGTGCAGTATGAACTCTCCCGGTTCATGACATACGGAGAGCTGGAGAGTCAGAGCACCAAGCTATCAATCATGATTCGCCGATTTTTCGATCACACTGGCAACTCGCAGTGTCATCAGCAACCCTTGGTTCCAATTTTCTTCGACAAGGGAGTGGACATGGTATTAGCAATGCTGGCCGTTCTCAAATCTGGGGCGGCTTATATTCCACTCGACGTTTCGCATTCCGAGCAACGTTTGAGGGTGATATGTGAATCCGCGCAGGCCAAGCTGATCATTTGGGATGGGCACAATGGCTGTGACAAGCTGCATGCTATTGGGCACTCTTTAGGCGCCACCGTCTTGACCCTGAGCGAACTTTCTGATGCAGCGGACGGCTGGAGAAGCACTCAGCAGTCTGGGGGACAGCCTACACAGTCCTCCCTAGCCTATATTATCTACACGTCTGGCTCCACGGGCGTACCGAAAGGTGTGATGGTCAGTCATACAAATTTGGCATCCTTCATTAAATCCGCAGCAAGGGACATATACATGTCCTGGACCGTGAATAGACTCCAGCTCGCTTCATATACATTTGACATGTCAGTCAGCGATATCTTCCCCGTACTTGCCACAGGGGGACGCGTCGTACTCGCCCAACAACAGTCCCTCTGGAGCGATCTGGCTGGGTGGGTGGATACTTTTGCAGTCAATCAACTTATGACAACCCCCACGGTGGCAGATATGATGCTTTCTAGTGCATCTTCCGACGGATTCCGGTTAGCACATTTGCGTGATGTGATAGTGGGAGGCGAGGCCGTCAAGGCAGATATCCTGGATAAGGCACCGGCAGAGATGGTATTTCGGATCCAATACGGTCCAACTGAAACTACCGTTGTCGTGACTGGTTGTATGCTTCGAGGACATGCATACCACCACCCTGTTCCGCATTCGCAGATTACCACAATCGGATTCCCGCTTCCTGGCTGTCGCGTCTACATTCTCCAGCCAGGCACGTCCAACCGAGTACCTATTGGAGTACCGGGTGAACTATGCATCAGTGGGCCACAGGTAACTGGGGGCTACCAAGGTAGTGGCGTGGAGAATCCTTCCAAAAGCCCATTTGTCCCCGATCCCTTCTGGGCCGGGCAGACGATGTACCGGTCTCGCGACATTGCCAAAGTCCACGGAGATGGAATGATTGAGTGGATTGGGCGGATGGATTCCCAGATCAAACTGCGGGGCCTGCGGATTGACTTGGGCGAGATCGAGTCCTCAGCGAGGCAGCTCAATGGTGTCCAGTCGTGTGCTGTTGTCAAGGTGGATCAGGGAGAGAAGGAGACCTTGCTTGCTTTCATCGAGGTAGCAAGCTCCCACGAAAGACACATTACCCCTTCCATCATCCAGCAACATCTTGCACATCATCTCCCCGCCTACATGGTCCCTGCCCACATTCAGCTGCTCGGCAAACCACTTCCGCGCACTGCCTCTGATAAGCTGGATCGAAAGGGAATCCAGGCCCTTGCGAAGAAGCTTGTGGATGACGGAGAGTTACTGTCCTTCTGCGCCAGCGAAATGCTAGCGGCTGATCGCCCATGTCCAGGGACTCTGGAGGCAACCCTCGCCTCGCATTGGGCCACTATACTAGGAGTCGACCAGGAGGTGATTCGTTTGCAAACGCCGTTCTCTTCCTTAGGGGGAGATTCCGTGCGGGCCATCAGTCTACTCGCACTACTGCGGCGCAACAACTTCCAGCTCAATTTGACCGATTTGGATTCATTGTCGACCATCCGGTCCCAAGCATCCCGAATCCTCGGTGACAAGCAACCACCGCAAAGGCTCCCTGCTTACATGCAGTTGACCACCCGCAGCACCAGTCGGGCGACGATGGTGCTGATCCATCCCTTCTTCGGTCAGTCGAGTGTGTTCGACCATGTCGTGCCGGCTCTAAGCCACCAGTACGATATCGTGCAAGTCTCTGATCCCTTCTTCGGAAAGCCGGAGGGCCCCGCATCCCTGCGCGACTGGGCCGCACATTACTTGGAAGCGCTGCAAGTCCAGCTGAAGCCAGGCCGGCCCGTCGTTCTGGTCGGGTACTCCTTCGGCGGCCTGCTGGCACTAGAAATGGCACGATTATTGGAGGCAACCGGACAAGGATCACCCTTGTCGACCGTCATTGTTGACACCCGTTGCTATGATCCGCACCAGCCGTTCTTCGCCGATGAGAAAGAGAGAAGCACCGCTGCGGACGATGCCGTCCGCCTCTTTGGCCCTGGCCAAACCAGAATGATCGAGGAACACTTCGATAAACATGCCCGCATCTGGGCAAATTCCGCGTGCCCGGACACCTACCTCGGCCGGTCGCTCTACCTGGCCACTCCGGATGCTGTCCAGTCCGGGGTTGTGGATTGGTGGCGGTGTCAGTGCCCGCACATTGAGGTACAGCAAGTGGAATGCTCGCACGGGGAGATTTTCGGTCCGGCGATGACTGGACGCGTAAGTGGGGTGATCAATGCACATTGCAACCTGGATACACACGCACAATGAGACTTAGGAATGAACGTGCGCCTCATACGAGAAAGGCATCTCTTTTCTTGGGGGTCTGGTAGTTGTTTGTGGCTTTACTGGTGTTTGTACATGGTTTGATGAAGCTCAGGGACGGGCGATTTGGAGGGTGGGTGGTTGGTTTGAAGTAGCTAAGTTCTCTGCGTGTTGACAAGAAGTGAAGGCATTGGGATCACGTGGCCGGGTTACTGGGAGATATGGACGAAGAAGAATCTGTAAGATTTGAGGTGTGTGTTGGTCTACTAGGCGGAATATTCATCTTCTAGAACCACATCTCAGGATAACATAACTTGAATACTGTTTTCCTTTACAAGTCCATGACAGCAACGTAGAAGCTAGTTGACTATCACATATCATCGAGGGCGAGAGGCTCATGTGCAACATCTTGCAGGTTGATATGGCCAATCGCTCCGCTCACATAGTTTATTTTGAATGAGCCACTCCAAATGGCAGGTTGAAGTGTTGAAATTGTCAATTATATGTGGAAGCTATTCTGTATTATCCTTCGTAGTACTGAATATCCCAGTGACCCCATTCTTTGGTAGGTAGAAATCGAAAGAGGAATCCCTCCTGCAACCGGGTGATTTCCACGAACAGGCCCAAGGAAGCCTGCAGATAAACAAGGCCGCAAGGAACGGCCGCGAGAAACGGCCGCGAGGAACAGCTCTGCAAGGCAGCCCGCCCTTCAAGACGCCGAGCGAAGCGAGGGTATAAGGCTTGTTTATATATACTGGTATTAGCTTTTCTAAGCTAAATCCAAAGGTAATTTAACTACTTGATATTTACTTTTATAAAAGATTTATAAAGTTTATAAGTAAAAATATACTAGGCCGATTAGAAATATACCTTATATTAGAAATAGTAGAATCCTTCTGTTGCAAATTTAAAACTTGTTTTTTTATACTGGAATTTTCAGATCCAAAGGTATATATTAACAACTGTAAAAACACACCAGCGTATCGGAAGAGCCACCATTTTGTATTAGTTGGAACAATTTGAGTCACATAGCCTATCTATGCCATCAACGGTGCATGGTTTTATCGTGACTGTGCAGTTCGTTTTGGATTCAGCTTGACTTGCACTGTTTAAAGTGGCAGGTGATGAAACGGCCGGTGATAGTATGACGGTTGACAGAGCCGAAGAAGTGACAGCCGAAGAAGTGACAGCCGAAGAAGTGACAGCCGAAGAAGTGACAGCCGAAGAAGCGACAGCCGAAGAAGTGACAGCCAAAGAAGTGACAGTTGATGGAGTGATAGTCGGTGGAGCGGCAGGTGGTGAAGTGGCAGGTGAGGAGGTAGCATGTCATAGAGATGCGGATCGAATATGAGGTTTAGCGGTATGAATTGCAGTCTCAGGAACAAAACACCAGCTTCCGTTCTTCAGCCCGTCATTGAGGGTACAAGTAGCCTTACTCCCACTGTTGTACAAGAAGTCAATTCCACCCATCCGATGCACATGGATCCAAATTATTGGCAAGCCATTTTCTGGTTCGCATTCATCAAAATTGAGCTGATAGTATTCAGTAACTCCCGAATTGATCTCTGGATGCAGTCAATAAATGATATGAAGCTTGATCAATCTCATTCACTTACCAGAGCATCCATTTCCTTTCTGTTGACCAAAAGATGAAGAGTATCCTGTGCAGCCAAAATCATTATAAGACCGCACAAAGCACTGTCCGTCGTGATGAATGACTTGAAATAATTCCGCCTGAGCTTGGGATGTACTGACACTAGCGAAAACAGCTTCTAGCCTGACGACAACTTTTCTTTTCTCGGGCTGGATGATAAGTATTAATTCTCTGTAGACGCTCAAAGCCAGAGGATATATGAGATCCCCACGTCGCGGGGCAAAAAGATTTCATTTCCGGCAACCAAATGGACGACTAAAACAGCTGATGAATCTCCAACAATTTGGATCCAACCATCAGCTCCGAATGTCATAGAATTCCGTCAAAGCTGTAAATGCATTGTTCTCACAATCATATATCTCATCAAGATATAAGCTCAACTCCTCCAGAATCTGATACGCATGTCGGAGATCGTTGAATTCCCTGTGTGATCACGAAATTGAAAAATCAATCAATTTCCGACCTCGGGAATAACCCTGACAGCGAAACGATATCTACACCAAGCCCACCACCCCGTGAACTATGACAAACATTTGAAAGGAAACAGAACCTTGGAAGGAACTCAAAAGTCAACATGAAACAAAAAAGAAATCACAATTTGACCATCATTGCCGTGCCCATTCGCTTTGGTTTGAACCCTCTCATATCTATCGCAGATCCTCTGTCTCAGAGAATCCTAACAGTATAACCCTTCCTGACCAACAACCTACTGCGACTGAATTTGGCAAGGTGGCGATCTTTTGGCCGAACTGACGAAATTCTGCTGGAAGACAAAGCATATCTCTGCCCTCAAGCGTGATCCAACGGGTGTCACGCAAGCCAAGTTTAAGGTTCTTTGTCTCCTGAAAAGAGCCGTCGGATCCTTCTAAAGATGAGAATTGGTCGGCAAATTTAGATGTGTTGTGGTTGATGATGAGGCTCCAATTGTAAGGCTCGCAACGACCATATGAGACTGAGGACGTATGCACAGGAAGAATCTCCAGGCATTCCGCAGTCTCTGTATCCCAGATCCTCGCTGTCATATCTCGAGAGATTGACGCTATCATCTGTGAATCGTGGGAGAATATCATGGATGTAATATCTGCACTATGGCCTTCCAGTAGCTGTTCGCTCTCTGTTTGCAAGTCCCGGACCCACAGTGATTCATGAAATCGCCATGCTATCCGGGTTGAATCGTAGGAAAACATCACATATGCTGAATAGTGAGGATTATGACTTTGCAGCACCTGTATGCATTTTCTTGTTTGCATATTCCAGATCCGTACAGTCTTGTCGGCAGATGCCGAAGCCATCATTTGCGAGTCATGCGAAAATGCCACAGATGGAACATAGTCACTGTGGCCCTCTAGCACGTCTTCACACTTTCCAGTCTGCGTATTCCATACTCGGATTGTTTTGTCATGGGAGCCAGATGCCAGTAACTTTGAATCATGAGAAAACACTATCGATGCAATGTAATCACTGTGTTGGTTGAGTCTGTGTCCACTGCCTCTTCGAAAGTTCCAGATGTATGCTCCAGAAGCTATCGTGTATACCAAAATTTCAGAATCATGGGAAAATAGCAATTCATCAATGTAGCCCCGGTCAGTACTAGTTGGAATCGTCTGTTTGCAGATCCCTGTTTGCGAGCTCCATATACGGGCTGTGTCGTCGAATGACGCTGACGCTAACATTCTCGAGTCATTTGAGAATGTCATCGAACGTATTCCAGAGGTATGACTCTCTACAGTTTCGTGGTCACTGAACCCTTTATACTCCATCTCCCAGATTCGAATTGTCTCATCATGCGAGCCTGATATAAGCAATTTCGAGTCATGCGAGAAGACGACTGATGTAATACTTGAGCTGTGGCCCTTCAAAACCCGCTCGCATTTCCAAGTCTTTGTACTCCAGATCCGGACAATGTCATCGGTGTGAGCTGTTGCTAGCAGCTTTGAGTCTGGCGAGAATGCGACTGAACCAGGCTCTGTAGATAATCGTGTGCTCTCAATTTCACGATCCAACTGTCCTGTTTGCAAGTTCCAGATCCGTATGATGTGGTCGTGAGCAGGGGATGTGATCATTTTGAAGTCATGTGAAAACATCATTGATACTACCCAATTTTCGATCTTTTCCAAAACTCGCTCACATGTACCTGTCTGCGCGTTCCAGATTCGTATAGTATCATCATAGGATGCCGATAAAATCTTATCCAAGTCTCGCGAGAACACCACCGTCATAACCATTCCACTATGGTCCTCCAATATCTGCTCACAATCCCCTGTTTGGAGGTTCCAAATTCGTAAATTGGTGTCCCAACAGGCCGACACAACCCTTTTTGAATCGTGTAAAAATGCTACCGAGGCGACTTCGCCAGGGTGATCCAGTACCTGCTTGCACTGCCCTGTCCGAATAACCCAAATTCGAATTGTTTTGTCCCGAGAAGTTGAGGCCAAGAATTGTGAATCATGAGAAAATGCCAATGAGCTCACAAAATCGGAGTGGTCGTTCAAAGTGACTTCCAAGAGACCTGTATTCATATCCCAAATTTGAATTATTCCACTGCTCGAGTTGTCGGATGATGCGATCTTTATCGAATCGTGTGAAATTGCCAAAAACCCTACGCTTTCGGAGTCAATGATCGTTTGACATGAGTTCCAATTCTCTTGTACCTGCGGCCAGAGTGAGAGCCAGCTTGGTATATTTGTCTCAAATGACTGGCGGACAAGGCTCTGACGCGGGGCAAACACCAAGACTGAAGAATAGATCTGCAACGGGGCTTCATCTATTATTGGAATGCTTCTTCTCATCAACCGAATGGCATCCTTGACAAAAGAGAACGATTCTTGAGAGTCAATAGCCTGTTGTTACTTGTATGTTAGCCAACAGTGAAGTCGTGCTGAAGCGGCTACTGCAAGCCTGCAAGCCTAGAGACCATACCTCTAGCCAGCTTGCCAAAGATTCAAGATTGATGAGAATACTTCTAGACTCTCCCAGTAGAGCCAGTACTTCAATCCAATGAAGTAAATGAGTTTGCAAAAAGTTATGAATTTTTTGGTTGTCCACTGCCTTACGCTCTGGATCGGGCTTAGTCTGGTGATGCACCTCGTGATGGCGGCAAAAGTGATGCACCCAATAAAGACAAGCGTATTGTAACTCCAAAGGTATGGAACTTTCAAGGTGTTCACGGTTAATCTCGGAACGACTTGTGCCTGGAAAATGAAGACTGCAGATATTCTCCTTCAGAGCGGTCATGACGTCCAAGCATTTCGTCGCAATGGTTTGATGTGCGAAGTTATCATCCACCCCAAAATCCACCTCCTCAGTAAGAAGATAATCTCGGAATGATTGGTACGGTAGCTGTACACCGGTATTCTCTAAACATGTCGAGTGTTTTTCTTCGGTGTGAGAACCTGACAAGGCTCTATCCGAGACTTTTACTAACAGACAATCCAAAACCACCTTGATATGATCAGGATTGCAAACAGAAGTGCTGCAAGAGACCAATTAAGCATATTTCCGGACTATCTTTTTATAATAATAGCTTACTCTATTCGATTCGCTCCTGGCTCCACTGCCATACTGACAAGCACAAGAAGATAGATTTGTCTTCTTGATATTTGGCTGCTCCTGTTCTTTCGAGGTCTGTATTAGGGGGGAAATAAATTGCATCTCGGAGGTTCTCGTGGACCTTATCTACTCTTAGTGCCTGATTGCTCAAGGCTATTGATGTCAGCTTTTGGGTACCTATGATCCTACCTTAGCGCCCAAATCATCCTGCCTTGGAAGTAGCCAATCAAGCACACTCCACTAATGCATATAAAACCCTACTTAAAATATGTACGGTAAGTGACAAGCACGGTGATGTCCTCAAGTGCATTTCCCCTCGCTTAGATTCCCAGCTTGTTGGGTATAATGCACATGTGTGCACATGCCCCTTGGAATTCCTTTTCTTTTCTACCGGAGTCGTACAGAGGAAAGTCTTGAAGCTATACACGCTTGTTTATGCACACATATGCGTGGGCATGCCTGACAACAAACTTCAATTTGAGAGAGCAGCCAGACCCGCCTTCTCCACTTGGCATATGTAAAGAGCGAATACCCCGCACACGGGCTTAAACCTGGCACGATATGAAATACGACTGATCGGTCACTAAAAGATCGCCTACAGAAATAGCGATCGAAAAGACAATGTAGGAAGCTGTTCTAGACGTGCTGGAATAGCCAGTAAGCGAGCTCGACGTGTATGAATATTTGACATTTAAATAATCCAATCAAGTGCAACAGCCCCAGTGCGTGTTTGACACTAAGCACATGTGTCGGCATGTGTAATTTCCTGTGCTAGACAGCTGATGTAAGACACGTATGCCATCCTGTGTTAGACACATCCAACAGCCCTGGAGTACGGTACAGCCTTCTATCCTCATCCTCATCAATCAGAATTCATATACAGAGGGACTTGTGGAGAACAGAGTCGCGGGCCGGTCCCGGCAAACGTAAACTTTAAGTTGGAACCCAATGCTGGATCCTTCAATGCTGGAGGTGGCCCTGAGGTTATCTAACATGAATGTGATGGCAATGTCTCTTCGTTTTTTCCTGCAAGTATCGGGCCTGCATTAATATGTCCAACCTTGGAAAATGCACTACTTTCCAAGGTTCTCTCGGCTAACTGCGGGGATGATTAGCGGCCAGCCCGGCACAATCGCCCCCGTAGCTAAGGTAATCCGGCGTGTCCCCGATTTGGATTGATGCCCAACAGGATCTCGATCTTGATTGTGACGAATCACCCCCTATCCCAACCTTTACACCTATCCTCACCAGAACCAGATTACCTGAATCAAGTCTTCATTATGCCGGATGGGCATCTATTTTCCCGAAAGAAGGGCAAGGAAAAAGAACAGGAAAAGAAGCGTTCCCGCCTTAAAGCATGGCTCTTTAATCGATCGCCAGAACCATCAGGATCAGGGGTGTTGCACTCCTCGGCTTGCGGTCCAAATTTCAGACCTACGACCGCCAACACTTCAGCAGCCCCTTTCTCGAATGCCATTTCTCAATCGAAAGCTCGCGAAACCCACGGCCATGTCGATGTTGTACACCCAGACCAGGATTTCGAACCAAATACTGCGCATACACCTGCTACCCCCCCAGTGCAAAAGAGGGCTACAATCAACGCGGATCAAGAAAACAACGCGGAGGCCAGTAGCACCTCAGGTGACCTGTGGGAAGATGCGTTTCAAAGCCTCTCGCTAGAGGAGCGACAACAGCTCGAGATTTTGATCGGCTTCGCTGAGGAGCCGCTCAATCCAACACCGAAGCCAGTGAGGTTCTCACATGAGGGTGCCCAAATGCTTATTGAAATTGCTGAGAAGAAGCAAGAAGAGTATGGGAAGCAAGTTTGGAGATTTGAACTTCGAGGCCATGTGATTGAGCCAAGAAACTTCACAGAAAGCATTATTTCTTGTCTGAGCACAGCTGGCGATATCGGTGTGCAGTTTCTACCACAGCCGGCCAATGCTGTGTGGCCTTTGATTAAGGGTATCTTGCAAGTAGGTTTCGCTTTTCATCAGTACTGACCTATATTTACTTACGTGGTTAGGTTCCCGTCAATGCAAATGTTGAACTTAGTACCGCACTCATGACCGCAGAGACGATGGTTCGGAACATTAGTCTTGGGCATTTCTATGAGGAGATCTATCTCAAGAAAACTGAAGGGGAGCTTCAAGAATCTCTTCGGTCAGCCCTAGTCAAACTTTATGCCGCATGCTTAAAGCTTCTGAATCACGCATCCAAGCAAATCAATGCGAACACGACAGAACGATTGCTTCTAGCCCTGTTGAATCGCCAGGAAACTCAATCCCAGGTTTCCAATTTAGACAAATCTCTTTCTGAGCTGACTCGGGTGATCCAAATCTGCCAAAATAAAACGATCGTTCACATCAATGACCGACAGACCAAGTTCCTTGCAAAATTTCGAAATTTCGATAGTTTTGTTCACCAAAGTTTCATTGAATTATTTCAATCACAGGATGAACGGAAATTATCAGAGATTCTCAACTGGATATCCTTGACCAAGGAATATGATCGACATGCTGAGTTTGGAGGAAACCGGGCCCCCGAAACGTGTGATTGGATCTTGGAAACTGAAATTTTCCAGAGTTGGGCAAACTGCACATCGCCAACATTACTTTGGCTCCAAGGAACCAGTAAGTCTCATGATTCCAAGACGCAGAAAGGCAATCGCTAACGTCTGCAATTTAAGTGGGAACTGGTAAGACGGTTCTTACATCCAGAGTCATCACTCATCTTCTTGATGAATCAAGAAGCCAGGACAGAGACAGAATAGTATATTATTACTGTCGGCTGAAAGATGAATATGAAGATCCGAATAACGTGATACGTTCCTTCCTTCGTCAACTTGCAACACCGGCTCATAACTCCAATGAAATCAGTAGGGATATTAAAGACCTATTCACCAACATGGAAAAACAGGCTTCCCAACTACCGATTGAAAAATGCAAAGAGCAGCTGTCACGGTCTTTGAGTGGATACCGCCAAGTGACCTTTGTCATTGATGCTCTGGACGAATGCATACAGGCAGAGATCCCGACCTTGTTGGATACCATTTTACCCCTTCTCAAGACCACGCATCCTCCGCGTATATTTGTTTCCTCTAGGCCAGATGGTTACATCAAAAGGCGTTTTGCTAACTACCCGACCATTGAAACGGATAGCTTGAGCAGCGGTGTTCGCAAGGATATCGAAACTTTCATTGATCATGCGCTTCCCGATTTCTCATACTGGGAGGCCTTTTCCCCTCAGCAGCGCACAGACATAAAAGCAAGACTTTTGACAAAAAGTAATGGCATGTGAGTTTATTTTACAACATAGAAAGATGAACAAATGTTCTTTGAAAGAAAGTTCGAGTGCTAATTTTGCGGTAGGTTTCAATGGGTTTACCTGCAAATAGCCAATCTGAAGACGTGTGAAATCTCTGCTGACATCCTTAACGGAATTGATGAAATGCCAACCGAACTTCCAAAAGCATATGAGCACATCTACAAAAGTATCTCTCAAAGATCAGTTCAAAAGATGATTGTCGATCGCGCCTTCATGTGGGTGATGTATTCATGTGTACCATTGAAGGGTGAGATACTCTTAGCAGGAGTCTGTCATAGCGGTGACGCCAATCCGCTGTACAAGGGCATTGACAAAGACCGTCTCTTGAGTCTTTGTCGTAACCTGATCATTTTTGATGAGAATGCAGGATTGTGGAAATTTTCACATGCCTCCGTTGCAGAGTATGCCAAAAGCAAGGAGGAGTGGAGCTTGCAAAAGTCTCACTCTTATGCTGGCAGAGTTTGCCTACAACACCTCATAGCGTCGTATGGCCAGTCAATTGGAGATCGAGACCTCAGTCCTTTGGTTGAGTCTAGTGAAATCACATCAAGTGTGATTCATCATACTCCCAAAGATGAAGTTGCATTTCGAACTGAGGACAAATTCTTGGATTACTGTCGCCACCATTGGGCGTTTCATATCCAGCGTCACGACCGAATAGTGCAAACATCAAAGGGATCGACCGATCCCTTGTTGATGCAACTCCTTGAAAGCTTTTTCAGATCCCCAACTCAGGCTGGAGGGGCCTATCAAAGGTGGTATCAGCACATGAAGGCGGATCTTAGCGGGTTCATATGGCACCTCGAACATTCAAGCTACATGTTTTACCATGATAATGCCGACTTCGAAGAGATCTCCCCGTCGGATTTGCCTATCCTTACTGTTTGTCGTTTTGGTTTGGATGCTATATTTGCCGAATGGTGGAAACGCGGGCAGATATCCCCCTTGCAGACAAATGCACACGGGGAAAGTCTGCTAGAACTTGCTATCAAGGCCAGATCTTCTGAAATTTGTGACACGCTCGTGAAAAGCTATGCCATCAGTGGCCACTACAACCGTGCCAGTATCGCCCTGTCAGTTGCAATAGAAAGCGGCGACTGTGCCACCCTTGATCTTCTACTACAGAAGGGCGCCTCTTGTGGCTTATCTCAACTTGACTACGACAAAGGACTTGCAGATTCTGCACTTGCCGGTAACTTCGAGGCTACTGAAATTCTGATAAAGCATGGTGCTTCTGTTGACCTGCCGTTCCAGACTGGAGATAATGGAAGTGCTCTTGCTGCTGCTGCTGCTGCTACAGGCCGTGATAGTTGTCTGATAGCTCAACTTCTGATACAGAAGGGCGCTTCTGTTGACAGGTGCCTTCATACTGGGCGTTTTGGAAGCGCCCTTGCAGCCGCTGCAGGCTGTGGCAATTTACCAATAGCTCAACTTCTGGTTCGAGCAGGTGCTTCTGTTGACATGGAACTTCAGACTGGGCAGTTCGGAAGTGCCCTTGCAGCTGCTATATGTCTAATTGAAAAGGGTGCTTCTGCTGGTGAGCCTTTTCACCCCAGAGAATATACTCGAAATGCTCTTACGGCTGCAGCAGATAACAACAGATTTGAGGTGGCTCAACTTCTGATAGAAAGAAGCTCTTGCATTGACTTGCCTCTGCATATTGGAGTTTACGGAAGCGCCCTTGCAGCTGCTGTGGGCATTGGTAGCTTTAAGCTAACTCAAAGTCTAATAGAGAAGGGTGCTGAGCCTAACCTATCCATCCAACATGGATGTTTTGGAAGTGCTCTTACCGCTGCTGCATATTACAACAACTTAGAGCTGGCTGAATTTTTAATAGATAAGGGTGCCTCTGTTGACCTGTCTCTTCAAATTGGAGATTACAGAAGTGCCCTTACAGCTGCTATAGGTCGTGGCAACCTTAAGATGGCTGAATTCCTTATAGGAAGGGGTGCTTATATTGATCTGCGACTTCAGACTGGACGATTTGGAAGTGCCCTTGCAACTGCTGTAGGCTGCGGTAACTTTCCGATGGCTGAACTTCTGATAGACAAGGGAGCTTCCGTTGACCTATCTCTTGAGGCTGGGGATTATGGAAGTGCCTTGGCAGCTGCAGCAGGCTGCGGTAGCTTAAAGCTCACTCGACTACTTATAGAGAAGGGTGCAAATGTCAACCTGTCTCTCCAAACAGGGCAGTTTGGCAGTGCCCTTGCAGCTGCAGCAAGTTGCAATAACTTTCCAATTGCAAAATTGCTGATGGAAAATGGCGCTTTTGTTAATCAGCCTCTTGAAACTGGATGCTTTGGCAGTGCCCTTGCAGTTGCTGCAGGTTACAACAAATTAAAAATGGTTAAACTTCTGATAGAAAGGGGTGCTTGTGTTAACCTGTCTCTTCAGAATGGAGATTATGGAAGTGCTCTGGCAGCTGCTGAGGGTTGTGGCAATCTTGAGGTGGCTCAACTTCTGAGGGATAATGGTGCTTCCACCTAGTTGGGATATTCAAATTGCAGTCTACGGCATTTTTGGCTTCACCATGTTTATATTTGAGTTACAGTCACTGTCTAATCATGATGTAGTCATTTTGATAGCAATCTTCAAAATTCCCATTATCACATAAAGGTATTTGACAAGATCAGTGAGTATTACACACCCACTGGCGTATCATGTCGTGTCCAGTCACCAGGTGCACCATTCAAAATAACCTGTTTGGATAACGGGTTTGTCATCATCGGGAAAGGGACTACATCAGAATTATGGAAATAAGTCTCGCACAAGTCTCCGGTGTACCAAATCCTTCGGGAAGTCCCAGAGTCAAATGGTCCTGTCTTGCTCGTTACAGTTGATCTGGCAAAGAGTTTTCCTTCATGCGGCAGGAGTGATACGACACATAATCGTGATGAGCTGGGAGGCGAAGATAGGCGTAAGGTACGCGACATCGGTCAATTCCACCAAACTGATAGACGAGGGGTGGACAGTCGTAGCAAAACACAACAATGCTGATCGGAACGAAGTGGTTATGGGCGCGTCATCAACCCAATTATTGCGGAATCTAGCAATCTCCCTTTTCGAGTACATCCAGCCCGGCGAACGAGATTATTGTCTCAAAGCTTGACCATGGAGCCAATATTGCGCCCCGGACGCAGCTTGCGAGAGACCGTAGGGCTGTTGTGAAATGAATCGAACCCACAGACAAGAAGAACCCGCGCATCTCGTGTGATTGTCTTCGTCGGCTGATAAGCGGCCGTACAAAATTGGTCGCTTTGACCCACGGGAGCAATTTTTGGGAACGATCAATAATGTCAAATCGCTAGCTCACGTTGTACATCAAACTCCGGGTGCATTGATCTGTGTGGATAGTGTTGCATTTGCGCCTCATCGGGCAGTGGATGTCAAGGGGTGGAATGTTGACTTCTGTTGCTTCAGCTGGTACAAGGTGTACGGTCCTCACACAGGTAAGAAGGAATCCCGAGTCGAAGCTGAAAGCCCGGGATATATAATATGAGTTTCATCATTGCAATATAGAGGCAGAAGTAAGAGAGTTGGTGGGGTCACTCGACGAAACGATCTGCTTGCCCAACCTCAGGTTTGAAACCACGCATGCAGTCGCAATACCACTTGCAGCGGTTCTGAGTGAGATAAATCGAAAGCTGCTGGGGCTTGGTCGAATATGTAGATTGCATGTTTCCGCCAACTAGACATATGTTTCAAATGAGGGAATTAGCTAGTTCGTCAAAACAAGGCGTGAGGAATACCAGTGCTGCTTCAGTTCGAGGGTAAAGACCATGGTGCTAGGAAAGGCTGGAGGTGATGCCAGTGGGAATGTATATCAGAACTTGAAAATATTCAGGCATGGAGGTAAATAGAAGAGTGACTAGATGCGAGAGTATGTTTGACGTTGAAGGGGTCACGGGGTTTTTAAGATGTCAAACAAACTCACGTGTCCAGGTGGTTTGTCTCAACCTGGGAGCCTGGAGATGAATATTAGCTCTCAACCTTGTCCCCCGAAACCATTCGTCCTTCTTCAACTTAATAAAACATACTTTTAATTTAGGAAGGTAGTGATAGGCATGTATGAGCTCATTCAAATGACATGGTTAAGCATCGAACACTGTCTAGCGGTTTCTGTTTGGGAGAAGAGAATGTAGGCGCAATGCAGGATGCAGCTCGTCCCTCGCACTTATCGTGCACTTTCTTTGCCAGATGAGCCTCAAGTCTCTCGACAGAGTGGGCAGCGTTCTGATACCAAGCCTCACAAGGTTTACTAAGCGAGGGGGAACGGGAGTATGAAGATCAGATAATCATTAACCGAGAAAGAATCTCACATACGAAAAACTGGGACAGGTTGTGGGGTAGTAGTTTATAAGGGAATGTTAAAGAAAGAGAAGAAAAGCCAATGGAAAAGGCCTAGCCAAGATCCGACACTGCCTCCTCAGATATGCATGCGCAGAAAGATCTCAAGCACATACCGCACAAATCGCACCAACCAGCCCGATGCCGGGCCGTCCTCATCCTCCGGCTCATGCGGCCGGGGCCCGCGGCGGTCGCCCCAGTAGCTCTGGCCGGGACTCATGGGGTTCGAGAAGTCGCGGCACTGCGGGTGCTCGTAGTCCTCGAGGGTGCCCATGGGCCAGATGGGGACAACGCAGACCTCGTGGTCGCCGCAGCCGCTGCACTGCTTCCACGTCGTCCAGGCCAAGTAGTTCATCAGCTCGCGGAAGTGGTCCACCGCGGTCTGGTAGTCGGGCTCCTGCCAGGCGGCCAGCATGGTCGCACAGATACTGCGGGCGACGGAGTGGATGGCGGTGGCCGCGACGCCGTCGACGGCGACCTCGGCGGGGAGGAACTGGTGCGCGCAGCGTTCGCGCTCCGCGTCGGGGTCGCGGTCCGCGTAGTCGATGAACGGGACCAGCATGGTCTCGATCTCCGCGTGCAGGTCCGCCACGGTGGCCACGTCCCCGGACGCGAGGTAGCGGATCTCGCGCGCGTAGCGCTCCACGACCATGTCGGCGATGGCCTGCCAGTCGTACAGGTTCTCGGCGGCGGTGTGGTCCAGGACGAGGCGGTGCAGGTCGTCGCGGAGGGGCTGCAGCTGCTGCGCGGAGAGGTGCATCAGACGGGGATTCTGGAAGGTCTCGTTCGTCGAGTGGAACAGATCCAGCCCGTACGTGTAGGCCGACACGAACGTCTCGTAGTTCAGCGCGACGCGGTGGCCGCCGATGCCGCCGTACCGCGCCGTGATCGCCTTCATCCAATCCGCGCCTCCCCCGGGGCCCCCTTTTCCTTTCCCCTTGCCGTTGCCCTTCCCTTTACCTGGACCCCCCGGACCCCCCGAAGACCCCTTATCCGACTTGACCTGCGTGACACGCACCTCCTTCAGATCCCGCGCGAAGTCACAGAGGATGATCTCGAACCCGGCCTCCATGCGCAGGAACCCGTCCAGGCGACCGTGGAAGTCCTCGCGAGCCATGCGGCAGAACTCCACCGCGCGCGCGCGCTCGCCGTGCATCGCCCCGTCGCTGGGCAGGTTATCCTGGAACAGGATCCGGTCCTCGCCGTCGAGCGTCCCGTTGGCAGTCTTCCCGGCGGCCATGCCGTCCGCGTACAGCAGCCGCAGGTCCTTGGCGGCGGTGTAGGTGTGCAGCCAACCGCCTTCGGATTCTTGTTGCTGCTCAACCTCTGCCCGCTTCTCTTTCCGCAGATCGCCCTTTTGCCCGTTGTCGTTGTCGTTGTCGTCGTCGTGGGGAGGCGGCGGACTCTTGAACGGGCCCGGCCGGGCAAAGACCAGCGCATGCTCGGGCTCAAAGGCTAGCCATTCCGTGCCGTTCACTGGCGCGGGGTTGGCGTTCCCGTGGTAGAACTGCGTGCCGGCGGGGACGGTCGCCAGGAAGAAGGACATGCCGTTGTGCTGCAGCGAGGAGCCCCATTGGCGCATCGACGAGTGGATCGAGTTGAAGATGTGGTTTGCATTCGGGGAGAATTCGGCAGTAGTGGTGGTGGTGGTGGTGGCGGCGCTGGCGCTGGCGCTCGCTACCCATAGTAGGGATGGTACGAGCAGGCGGGAGACACCCATGGTGGTGTCTGGTAGTAGGGGGTGATGATGATAAGGCTGGGTGGATGGAAACGGGTGGAGCGACTTGATATATGTATGCCACCCGCCTTGCAAGCGCCCGCGCCTCGGGGGAAAGAATAGGAGGCAACTTTTGCCTGCAAAATCCGATTGGGGACTTCCTAGTGGGGGATGGTTCGGTCTGACGCGTCAGCGCTCAGGCGACAACGTTTACGCCGTACAATTCTTTATCGTGCACGCCCTGTGGAACGAGGGCGTGGGGTCCCTTGCCTGCAGCAAGGCACGCTGCATGGTGAAGTGGCACCAAGCCTGAGTTCGATAAGAACAGATTCCCCAACAGTTTCTTTCTATATTTCCGGTAATTGTGAATCGAACTGAAACAAAGCTTGAGTGTAACAAACTGCACGTCAGATAAGCCGCGGAAGAAAAAAAACGGGATTCGATCTAATCTTATCGCCGAGGTCACCACGGGCTCAGCTGCCCAAAATGGCACTAACACCCGATCGTCCGCAAATATGCCCGAAGACCGAAGCAGTAAACCCGAGACTCTCTTCCGTCATTCGCAGCTCCGAGCCAAACCACGGCCATCTTCCTTCACTGACGGCCTCCAGCCTTACGAACGATGCCTCCCCACCCCACCCCCGGCAACCCGCGCACTCTCCTCCTCACGATCGATGCGTTCGGCACCATCTTCCACCCCCGCGACCCCGTCCCCCAGCAATACGCGTCCGCCGCGCACAGATTCGGCCTCCCTCGCGCCACCGTCACCGCAGACCGGCTGCAATCCGCCTTCAAGGCCGTCTTCAAAGCCCAATCCCGAGCGTACCCCAACTACGGTCGCGCCCAAGCTCTGCGCGGCGAGTACGGCGGGCCAAGACAATGGTGGGAAGAGGTGATCCGGGGCAGCTTCGCGCGCGTGTTGGATGTCCCTGGCTCTCGCTCTGCCACCACCGTTGATGCCTCGTCCCCCACCCGCACAGACAGCACCTTACCCGACGGCCTCGTCCAACATCTGCTCGACCGCTTCGCGTGCCGGGACGGCTACGCACTCGACGCCAACGCCGATGCGTTCTTCACGCGGCTCCGCCACCTCAAAAGCACGAACTCGCGGCTGGGCCCGTTCGATCGCGTCGTGGTCGGCGTGGTGTCCAACTCCGATGACCGCGTGCCGGCCGTGCTGGAGTCGCTGGGCCTGCGGGTGGGGATGTGTCGGGCCGACCAGGATGTCTCGAGTACACAGCTGCCGGGGTTCGAGATGCGGGAGCCGCGCGATGCAGACCGAGTCAATTGTCACCAAAGCGACGAGCGGATTTACGATCTGGATATGGTGATCACCAGCTACGAGGCGGGAGCGGAGAAGCCCAGCCCCGTGATCTTTGAGGTGGCCCGGCGCCAAGCCATGAAGCTGGTGGGCGCGAGTGAGGGCAGCGATGGACGCAACTGGACGTGCGTCCACGTGGGCGACAACTACGACAAGGACTACCGCGCGGCGATAGATGCCGGCTGGCAGGCATTCTACATCCCTCTCGGGGATGACGCGAAACGGCCGTCCCAGGGGTCGAGGACTGGGTCGCTGTTGGACGTGATCTCTGAGTTGCAGCGGTTCGAGTAGGGACACGGTGGGCGTAGTGGCTGTGCAGTACTGTACGTCACATTTTCTGGCTCTCCGGCAGTAATCCAACCAGGGGCGGTGCAGAGCAAAGTAAAAACGCTCCTGTCCGTGTAGATAGCTCGAATGCGCACTCCGAAGCTTTTCTGGTTGCACAATGCCCTCTTCC